CCCCAAACGATTGCCAAGTCCCCCCAATCCAAGAAGTCCAAGTCCACCACCAGCACCACCACCATCATTCACACAAACCCGAATTGTGCTGCTGTACTGTGTGTGTCTGTCCTGTATATACAACTTCTGCTGGCGAGTGTACCATCACCACCACCGTCACTACCACAATCACAATCACTCACTCCCCACCAATATCGACACGAATCCTCCTCCACCCCATTTTTGTCCGCGTCACGTTTTCGTAGGTAGAGATTTCTCCAAGGTGATGAGATCACTCGCGAGCTTTGTTCACTAAAGCAAAGGCCGCTGCCGCTGCCATTGCCATCATTCGCCGGCGTCAGATCACGGCAGCTAAGACGAAACTTCGAGCCCTTACGCTAATCGACGCCTCCTGACGAAGTAGTCTGAAAAGGTTGGATGACGGGATTATCAATCTTTTGCACATTCACACCTTTTCTCCTTCGACCCTTGTTCACCAAAAAACGACAATTCATTGTTGTTTGTGAATAGGCTCTGCTCGCGTCAGAAGGTGCTGCATTCCCCCGGCGAACCGAAGCCCTGCCTCGCCTGCCTCTGCCTCTCACTCCCCTCCCGCCATGCCGGCCATTTTCACAGCCCCTCCGCCATCCGCGGCTGCTCCTACCTTCAACCAGATTAAATACCAACAACACCATCACCACCACCACCACGACCCTCTCTCTCCCTCGCACGATCCTACGTCTCTGCATCAATTACCTAAACTGCAGACCGACAATTCTTCCTTCTCCTCGGCCGATACCAGTCTCACCTCATCCCCCGAATCGCGACCCATCGATCTTCGAAGTCCCATACCCGAGGAAGACGAGGAAGATGAAACCAGCAGCGAGGCCGCTAATGAGCCAGTAACACCTACCGACTCCCAGCATCCTTACTCTTTTCCAGATAGGATGAACGGCATGAAGCCGCCAGAACATATCAATTCGTTTGATCTGAGTCGTTCACAACCACCACCTTTAATTTTGAATACCACGCCCACCCCTCCATCATCTACACCCACCTCCGAGAACAAGCCTCCTTCCATACGCTCGACCGACCAGCCAACCAAGACAAGTCCGCCCAAACGACCCGCATCCTCGTCAAAGGACTCGGGGATCAAACAAAAAATGTCGGGCTTTTTTCGTCGCTCGCTATCGCATGGAGCGAACGCTCACGATGTCGTACCCGTACCACAACTACAAATAGAAAACAATGCGCTATCGGGATCCGATCCCAACCTGAGCAAGGAACAACGCAGACGCCTGTCTGCTAATAATTCACCATATACAACTCGGTCCAATTCTCCCCCATCACCCGCTTCTCCAGGAGACACATCCAACATGAAGTCGCAACCACAAGCTCAACTCCAAGTATGCGAACCTACGAAAGATGACTTCTTCCAGAATCGAAAAAAGAATCGTGCTTCGACCGGACTAGGACACGGGATTCGGGACAGGTTTTCAAGGAAGAGCTCACATAACGACAAGGCAACCGAGCATGAGCAACGAGATCGAGCGACCAGCGTGGACCTCGACCCATCGATACAGAATTGCGACGGAGACGCCAATGCGAAGCTACCGCAAAGAGCCATATGGGCTCTACCTGCCGAGACCGGAATTGGACTGAAATCTCGCAGAATGAGTTTGAGTTTACCTGACGATTTTACGGTGGATGTTGCAGATCTCTACAGTGAATTCCAGGATCAGAGTAAAATGGTCGGAAAACGCGGGAAGAGCATTGGCAAAGGTGCAACCTCCAAGGTGAAACTAATGTACAGAAAAGGCTTCCCTGGTGAAGTTTTCGCGGTCAAGGAATTCCGAGGGAAGTCGTCCAACGAAAAGGCCGAGGATTACGAGCAGAAGGTAAAGTCAGAATACTCGATAGCCAAGAGTGTTCACCACCCGAATATCGTCGAGACGTTCCGACTTTGCGTATATGCTGGGAAGTGGAATCACGTCATGGAATACTGTGACCAAGGAGATCTTTTCAACCTCGTCAGCCAGAAGTACCTCTCCAGACCAGAACGATTGTCGGATCGATTATGTCTCTTCAAGCAATTGGTCCAAGGTATCAACTATCTTCACAGCAATGGTATCGCTCACCGTGATATCAAGCTGGAGAACTTATTGATTACCAAGGAAAGTAAGCTGAAGATCACGGATTTCGGTGTCTCCGAAGTCTTTGACGGTATTCACCCTGGATTGAGAGCTGCAGCTGGACAGTGTGGCAAAAACATGGGAGAGGCTCGATTGTGTGCTCCAGGCATGTGTGGTAGCCCTCCTTATGTCGCCCCAGAGGTATTGGCGAAGCAAGGTGAATACGACCCTCGTCCATTGGATGTTTGGGGAGCCGCTGTTGTGATGCTCTGCTTATGTGCCAATGGATGTTTATGGACGGAAGCCCGTGAAGGAAGTTCACCTCTTTACGATGACCTGGTTCGAGGATGGACCAAGTGGAACGCCAAACACCCGGAAGGAGAAGTTCCAAATATTTCCGAGACAGACTATCCACATGTGGCATTCTTCGATCAGCATATCAACCCTCCCGCTCTTCGACGTATCCTTCTTACCATGTTAAATCCTGAACCATCCAGAAGAGCCACTATGGCCACCATCGCCAAAAACCGATGGTTGAAAAATGTCGAATGCTGTCAGGTAGACAGCTATGACGATCCTACTACCACCGTGGACGCGACAAAACTGCGTTCATGTTCGAAAAGTATTACCAAAGTTGTCAGCCATAATCATCTTCCTCCGCAACAAAACTTTGGCCATAAATTTGTCCGACTTCCCGGAAGTACGGATATGTAATACCTCAACACTTTTTCCCTGTTGGCTGATGACGAGCGATTGTTCCTTTCTTCTTCTTCTCTTTTGCGAGAATTGTACAACCTTTGAGCTTCGGCATTGGACCTTTTCTTTGTTTTTAGCGGGCGGGTTGCATTGGAATGGAATAGGACCTCGATGGTTAATGTTGTTTTTTTTTTGCGAACCGTAAAGGAGGCTATTTGGGTTGGGTCGTTTTCACCAGGCGCTTTTTTTTGTCTCATTCTCGATATACCGGAATAGCAACACCACTTTGGGTGTGAATGGGTGGTGGTTTACATGATTGAATGGACCTTGGATGGTTTGAAAACCATCTGGGATGGGATTTTCTTGGTTTGGGTGGGGACCTGTGTTTTAACTGGATGGATGGATGGATTGTGATGTTGATTGGGTTTGGAGAAGGGGGACTAGACTTTTTTTTTTGGAAGGAGATGAGAAATATATTCTTTTCTCCTGTTGGCTCTTCCATTACTCTATTGAGTTTACACGGTTCTCGTTTCTTTATGTTTTTAGAGACCAGGATTAAGGGATGGGATGGGAAATTGCTACAGTAAGAGGATGCAAACGAATGGTTGGAAATTGGATTGAATTGAATTGCATTGGATTGGATTGGATATATAGGGTAGCTGAGGTGATTGATTGATTCCCGCGGAAGATGAGGAGAATGAAAGAAAGAAGCAAGATAAGAATGTGAATCATAATTCCACCTAAAGATTCCCGAGAAAATAATTACATGTCTACTTACTCACCTTGTGAACCCTTTCTTTTTTTTCTTTTCTTTTTTTGAGAAGCTTGTGATGAATGGAAGGTTGTGGTTTTTTTTTTTGGCTGAGGGAAGTGGATGGATGGATGGGAGGGATGAGATGAGATGAGGTGAGATGAGGTGAGGGAGGTAGGGGATGTGTGGGTTTTGAGTTTTTGTTTTTTTGTTTTTAAAGGTATATATGTATGTATATATATATACGATATCTCGCGCACATTTTTTTGGATTATGGCATAGATGGGGGGTTGTGGGATTGTGGGTTGTAGAATTTTAGGGTTGTGAGGTTGGAGTGTTGGAGTGAGTGGGTTTGTTGGTTAGGTTGGGATGATTGGACTTTTGGGGGGGTTTCTTTAATGAATGGAAGGAAATGATGGACGGGATGAAATGGTGAATGGGAGGAAGTGGGTGGATGGATAAAAGGAGGGATTGGTTATTATGTTTGTTATTGTACTTTTTATTGTGAAGTGCTTCGATCCCCTTCCCTTCCTCCTCTGCTGAATGGGATTGTAATGGTGATTAAGAGGTGGGTGGGTGGGGTTTCNAAAGGAGGGATTGGTTATTATGTTTGTTATTGTACTTTTTATTGTGAAGTGCTTCGATCCCCTTCCCTTCCTCCTCTGCTGAATGGGATTGTAATGGTGATTAAGAGGTGGGTGGGTGGGGTTTCACTAGTGAATACTTATTTATTTGTATATTTTTATTAAAAGATATGATGTATGTAGATGTTAGAGGACAGGAGATACGGAGTAGGTAGAAGTGGAGGGGGGAGGTTAAAGGAAGGTTTTAGGGAGATGATAGGGGATGGGGGTGGGGGGGTAGAGACTTTATGTAGTAAGTAGGTTTTCAAGGGAAGAGGGAAGGGGTATTAAAAAATAAAGGTATAATATAAGAATAAAAGTAAGTGACAAAGCGAGAAGCTAGCTAAGGAGCGAGCGAAGCGGTTCTAATACACAAGCTATCTAGCTACTATAGCTATAAGGGCCCGGAATAGAACTAGCGTTTCCTATAGAAGATACTCGTACTCGAGAGCGCTTGAGCTTATAATATCCCTTTCAGACGCTAAAGTGTTAGGTTAGCACGTGGATGCGATGACTGGGTTACATGGAGACTGAAATGCTTGGAAAGGCTGCTTGATTAGCTAAACGACTTTGCTTTGCGGGGAGAATGTCGAGAAGGTGGATACCCTTTTTCGACACTGTGGGTGCGTGTTTGGCCTGGCTGTTTGGCGTCTGGAAGGGGTGACAAGGGGAGGAAATATAAGAGGGAAGGGGAGTGGGGAAGGGAATATAGTGTTTGCTTTATTAGTACGACATAAAAGGTATGTAACTTACTTATTTAGTTAAATAAAATATTTATGAAAGCTTCTCTGCGAATAATTCGATAACGTTATATAATCCTACCAAACTGTATTAATTCTCCCCATTTTATATATGGTAGTCAGAGAATTCCTTCTACGCGCCCTTTCCCCCGTAATTCCATTACCGAGATTCGGTACAGAAAAAAGGGGGGCACTATCCGCTCGAGCCTTCGGTGTTAGGAGATAACACAACAAACTTTGACCTAGGGATAGCCGAAGGCGCGCGAAGGAATGAATAGACCGTATTACAAAAACACTCGCGACAAAACCCCGGACACAATTTTCGCTGCCGATTTCCGTATGAAAATGGGATTTGGATACGGATAATTAGAGGGGTTGTTTTCGATTCTAGATCACCACCCCTGTCGTTGCACAATGTGAGATGACGTAGGATGCAGCAAGCCCTTGAAAACAAGAACCATAACCTGCGCCTGCGGCGATGAATGTCATCATACCAACCAACCTACTCTACCTACCTACATCTAACAAGACAAAATAAAATTAAACTATTTACTTTACTTTTGTCTTGCTTCGCCGCTCTTCTTCATCGTGCTACGAAAATTTTAAAAAGAAGAATCATTAAGACCTCACCAGAACACCCATCTCTCCAAAAACCTAGCTATAGCTACATAGTAAGTCACCAACCCCATCCCATCCCATCCCCTCCTCTCTCCAACCAACTCACCAACTCCCATCACAGCCTCCAAACCCCTCCCCTCCCCTCAAAAATGTCCTCCCCCACCACAACCACCAACCAACAAACCACCCAACAACCTCTTCCCCAGGAACAACAACCCCAACAAAAGCAACAAATGACCACCCAACGCGCAGAAGGCTACCGGGAAGGACCGATCCGGGAGTCACGGATTAAAGACCGTCCGTATAGACCGGATCAGGATTCTAGTGTCAAGATTAAGATTGAACTTGATTTGGAGGTGGAGGTGGATCTTTATGCTAGGGTTAAGGTGAGTTTTGTTTTGGGGAAATAGAGAAAGGGGGGAAAGGGGAGGGGAAGGGAGAGAGAGTGCTAATTATTATGGTGTAGGGTGATGTTACGATTGGGTTGATGTGATGTGAGGATTGGTTGGGATGAAGATTATGGGTTTTTTGGGGTGGAGTTTGGGATTTTTGTTGGGAGATGGATGATGTGATTGGGACGGGGTCTATGGACTGTAGGTACCTATGATTTGATGAATATTGTGGTTTTTGAGATATGGTATATCTTATATAAATTTGTGTTGTGCTGGGTCTACTTTCTCTTTTGCTCCACTTCCTTATTTGATCCACTTATAGTTCTGCTGCCTAAATGCTTTATGTCTGCCTAAACCTTACACTCTTTATATAAACACCTTAGATAGCTACCTTTTACAATGCAATCAATTCTCCATGACCTTCAGTACCCAATACCTTTTCAACCCAATAATTTGTTTTCTGTTCACTTAGCTTCTGGTGTATGTGTTTGTGTATGTGTGGAGGTGAAACTAATAGCCAGTACTGCAGGTGTATTTGGTCGTTCCTGAATTATGGTTGGAATTACCACTTTGGGTATTTTGTAGACCCTCAAAGATATTCTTGTTGCTACCTTGTTACTGCACTTGAAATCTGCATGGAGAATTATTCCCTTTCTTGTTCTTTCTATTTCTTGCTCAGGAGTCAGCGGCTGTCTAACATAATTCACCTGCATAGATATACCGCTCAATTGTCATCCCATCTCCCCGAGGTTCCTATTAATACTCAAAGTCACAATCATCGCATAACTCTTATTGACTCTCATATCTCCTCAAACTTAATTGTACAGCAAATATGCCACATCAGAAGAAGCAAAGACCTATCAGATCTGAACCTTACAGTATTTTAAGCTGCTAAAATCGATATCCTCAAACAATACAGTGAGCTAGGATGATGGGGGCAAGTGAACAGTAATACGTTTCTAGGTGAGAGGTTTTACTTTAGAGTGGTATTTGGTTTCGCTTGTGGAAAAGGGATGGAATGCATTAGATGTAGAGATCCGGTTAGGAGTCCGAGGAACGTTGGTGCGGGCTCTTATATGGTGATGTGGTTTGTTTTTCAATTACTTGGAAATGTGGAGTTTTGTCTAGATGATGTAGAAGCTTTTAAATAGAGTCGAGGTTGGTTTGTTTATATGGGATGTTGATGTAAGTTGGGATCTCAATTCCAAAGAGCAGGATGAGAAAATCGAAATGTCGCGTATTTTATATCGAATTAGTAGTGGATGAAGAAATGTTCAGGGGGTTGATTCAGACCGTACGCTTAAATTTATTCTCCTACTAGGGTTGTTTTGAATATTTGGGAAATGATATAGGATTACAACACGAGAGAGGGCCAGAGCTGGGGCAAGTAGGGGAAGAGAGTTCGAGATTTTGACAGTTCATACAGCCGGTCCCAAAGATTTGAATAGCCGAGAGATCAATGCGGAATACTGAGATGGAGGGAGATGGAGTATCGTTGGTGACAGTAGGACTTTTAGAGAGAGAACGGTATTTGGTTTTAAGGTTGGGATCTATGAATCATTCTTGAACAACAATTTCGCTCGTTTTTGGGTAAGAAGTAATAGATATCCGTTTGAAGGTACTATACGATCCAAAAGCTTTGCAACATTCTTGAATTTTCAAAGTTGGAGGTCTTAAGGCCTCTTAGGCCCGTAAGTCAAAACTTGACATTACTCAAAAGTCTTCCACAACTCCATTGTGACTTTACATAATTTCACCATACCACACCCCACCCCATCTCCCCTCCCCCTACGGAAAATTAAGCATCACCCGCCACAAATCCAACGCACTCGTTCCATGTCCCTGCTCCCCCAAACCCCCCTTCTCATCCCGAATGACCACATCCACCTCCTCCCCCACCTTCCTCACAAAGTACCTCCAAAGACTCATCTCCTCCCCCCTCTCCCTCATCTCCCTCCTATCTCTCGCAATCGCAAATCCCACTTGATAAGGCACGTACGCCGTGGCCAGAAATCAGCCGATAATAGTCGTCGAGACGAAGGATACTAGCAAGGCCATTTGGCGCGGATCGTGGCGTGGGAAGCCCCATGGTTGGGAGAAGTGGTGGGATTTGTGTTGTGCTTTAATGGCGGGTGGGTGTGGCTGGATGGTGCTTTGTGTGGTGCGGGACTTTGTGGTGTTGGTGAGGGTTCTGAGGGGTGGGGAGAGGTTCGTACAGAATGGAGGGAGCTGGGAGGTATGAGGTTTTGTGCGGAACTTTTGAATGGAAGTCTTTAGGAGAGGGTTGAAAGCCCGGAATAATGTTGAGGAACTCATGGTGAAGGGATTTGTGTGTTTTGCTAGCTTTCGGTTATTCTGAAAGTTTGGAGTTCAGACGGTATGTTCGTTTATTGTAGATGTAAAATGAAGATTTGGACCGTTTGAGTCATTTATACTTATCGTGAGTCTAGATTAGTCGCGGACTACGAAAAATGTCGTCAAATATTCGATGGGTCTTCTGAGAAGTCTAAGCGAGGAACTAAGTCAATCCGTTGTGACTAGTTTCAGTTGCAATCCACTAAATATCGTCTGGAAGGAAATACCGAACAAAATAGACCTCGGAGAAAACTCGAAAACTAATTTTGAGTGGAGTTTCTTATATACATATCATTCTATGAATAGTAAGAAGTGACCTTCCTTATCCCAAGCTAAAGGTCCTGCGTAATATCTTATTGTTACTTCCTCCCACTTCAAATCCCATCATTTCACGAGCAGTACTACTCAGCCTCCTTGTTTTCTCTTTTGCCCTCCTTCTCATCACATCCTCTCTTCTCTCCATTCTTTACTGTTGGTACGACCTGGTTGTCGTAAAGGGTGATACACAAACATAATCTCTCTTTGTATTCATTCGTGTATGAAGAGTAAAGGTAAAGAGAGGCGGTACCCTACAAGCTTAAGTATATGAGTGGCAAGCCACTCACATGACCTAAAGCATATAGATCCACCAGGCTCTCGTACAAGGTGCTATTCACCAGAATTATATACCGACATTTACCTTTCCAATTCTCTGTCCATTATCATTCTTAGCCCACCTCCGAACTCGCCCTGGAAGCGTTACTGACCACTCAACCCCATTATAAGACTTACAACCCAATCTCGACCCTAACCACAACCTCCAAGTGTATGAGACCGTTTGTTTGAATGGAATTGGTAACGGGCGATGTTGTGTTTTAAAGCTGTAATTGATGAGAGAAGCAAGGGAGATTTGCATGATGTCGACCAATGTAATTTATTGTCGTAGCTACACGGGCGAGGACTTCGCCAAACGGAGCAAATTAATGATAGGTTTGCGGATCGTGTGCAGAATTGTAGAAGGAGGTGGATGTAAGTGTTTGTGGTAACAATGAAATGGCTCCATCCCTTATTCCAAGATATTCAGTACCTGTCAAAATGACTCACTGCTTCTTGAGACATGACCTAATAAGACATGATAGTACGTAAGCTGGTTATCTTGTTGCCTCTCGAAGGAGAGGTTGTAGTAAGCTAGGAAACCCGAAGCACAGCGAACGGGATCATAGCTTTTTACAACAAGGTGACGAGGAGTATTTCAAGCCTGACCTGCCATCCATCAATCCAATTGTAATAAAATTGATCAGCCCTTCCTGCCACCGTATTCTCCATTACTGGGCTTTCCCATCCACATGAACTCCCCCTCCCCAACTTCATTTCCAGCTCCATTATAAAATCGACTGCGTTCCTTCTTCCCATGCCTATCCCTCTTCTCGTGAAGCCAATTCCTAATATCCATCTCAATGGCGAAGAACAGAACCACAAAAATCATCAAGAAAGAAAATGTGTTCATCGGTGCATTAAACGCGAGACCCCAAAACATGGAGATCCTTTGCTCGCACTTGTTCTTCGCGTATCGCATCATCGTATGAGAACTGGGCCCGATTATACGCCATACGTATTTAGACAGTGGCTTCCTTGGCGGGGAGAATTGTTGCTTGTCTTTTCGCGAATTTGGGTTGGGGGGTTCATTGCGCTGCTGGCTTTTGCTTTTGGGATTGTTGGAGAGGCTCCTGACTTGAGATACGGAGAAGATTCGTGGCGAGCTAGAGTTCCGAACAAACCTGGTGCTTTTGCTTGGAGGGCAGAAGGTCCGCAGCATTGATGGCATTGTGAAAACTGGCTGTGATGGTGATAGGGTTAATGGGCAGAGGTTTTAGCGATCCCGTGCTTGAAACATAACCCCTGATTGCAAGTGATTTCGAATCAAAATGCCCCGTAAGTATAATGTGGCGTCTTTCCTCTCCAAGGGAGTCCAGGGGCTCAAACAACCACCAATCAATAAGAAACCGGTGTCCCATGCAGAAAGAGCATCAGGAAAAACCAGCAACCAACAGTGCAGAGCAATCATATACACAAAAGAATCCCCAAAATCTCAAATCATACCAGAGCGACTAGATAAACCCGTAACCATAACCCCGTATTCTCAAAACCGTTTATTCTCCCAGCCCTCCATGTTCTCCTCCGCCGCTTTCTTCACCGCCTCCTTCTCCTTCGCTCTCTGGATTTTCATGTTGTTCACCTTCCGCTGTTGCAGAGCAGAAAACGCGAACAGGAAAGTAGTCCCAAAAAAACACACCACATAAATCCGAGGCATCTTCTTTTCTCCTTCGTCCTCCTGCCGCTCTGGCTTCGGAAGCATCATGGTTCTGTTGGTATTGGTAAAGCCCCTGATGATAGGTGATGATTGAGCAGTGCGTGGACTGAAGTGATTGCCATGATTAAGACGAAAAGATGAGGTGATGAATTTGATCGACTGAGTACCCGTAAAGTGAGGGCGGAAAGCAAGAAGTAATGATGGTGATATGGTCATGGTGAGGAATAAGTGGTGAAGGATGATCGGACGCGCGATGATTAAACAGTCGAGGGAATTGATATTAAACTTCACCAGCGTTAGAAATGATGTGATTTGATTTGATTAATAGTACTTAATCAAATCAAATCAGATTAATATTTCGATTAATCTCATCAAATCGCTAAGTAATCTGATTAGTTCTGAATAATTCAGATTAATCGGAGTCCGGTCGGTCCGAGCCTCGGGGTAGAGTCCCGGATAGTCTGACCTTCCTATATAAAGTATAAGTAAGTTTTTAAAATATTTATATATTAAAACTCTTTACTAATTAGTTATATAGACTACTCCCTTACTTTAGTAGAAGGCTTATAGTACTATATATAGTCACGTGTAATCATGTGACCTACCTTAACTAGGATCTAGATAACGAAGAAGACTCTTTAGGCTATACTAGTAATAAGCTTAAAAAGATAGGGGCACTAAGGGGTGTTTCGTGGGTAGACAAGGACAAGATATACTACTAAAAGACGTGTTATTTAAGGACAATTACTTTGTACTTTAGTTACTATTTATAGTATATATTAATCAATTAATAATCTGATTAACCAAATCGGTTAATCAAATCAAATCAACTAGACCTATTAATCAAATCAAATCAAGTAGACCTGTTAATCAAATCAAATCAAATCTGAATAATTCAGAGTATTAATTGATTAGTTGATTATTTTTTCCCAACGCTGAACTTCACGGACCTGATTGTAAAGCTGCAGAAAAGTGTAAGGTCGTCAACTATGGAGCGAGGGTGGTTATCCCTGAAGGAGACAATTATCTAAACAAGCAGAAAATTCTGCCCCCCCCCACCAAGAAAGGAATTTGGTTCCCGAAACCAAAAACTACAGAACGGAGTTGAGTGGATAGGGCCACTAGTTCACAACCAACAATCAACAATTTACACTTGTCACTCATATGTGCAAAGTCAAACTTTGTATTAGATTACCGTCAGGCTCTTTAACCCTCGCTGTCGCTCCTACTATTGCCCTTGCTATTATACCCACTAAGTGCCCCTACCACGCCCCTACCTTCTCTCCTTTAGCCCCTGCCTATTATATCCGCTATCGCTATTACTATTACTATCGCTATCTGTCTCTATCGTAGTTATTTAAGGAGAAAGTAAAAAAAAGATACGATAGGAGGGCAGGAGGCTAGGAGATAGGAGAGTTCCTATGATTCTAGATATTCTAAAAAAGGCTTCCATACTACGTATACACTCTTACGCGCGTAGAGTCACATAGGCTTACGAGTGCTAGCGCTCTCGCCTTAGCGAGAACACGAAAATATTATAATTACAACTTCTAAAAACCCTTCTTTATAACCTCGATAACTCGATACTATAGCTCTCTTTTATAACGACAGGAAAGTCCTAGGTAACAGGGAGGGCAAGAGGGACGGTAGGTAGTAGAATAAGGCTGGACAACTAGCTTTGGCTCCGATAGAGTAAACGATTTTACTTTATATTTAGTTCTACTTATATAACAAGTAAAGAGTATAGGTTATTAGTTGTTAGTTATAGACTAGTAGCCATATCTACTTAAGTCCGTTCCGTAAAAACGAAGTGGCTAGACCTGGGCACGATACAAACTTTAGATATCGTATTGTAAATATATTAATAATGCGATATCGGTTTTTTAGACGATATCCAATATGATATCGTTATCGTGCCCAGGCCTAGAAGTGGCTGTTATTTCCTCCTTCTCAGTGCTCCTTGTCATCGAGTAGAAAGAAACCTTTTGAAATTATAATTCGTGATATACTGCGAAGTGATTTGATCATTTGGAGGGTATACATGTAATACTACTATCCCAAAGATTCTTCATATGATTTCATATACCTTGATTTCCTTGTATATATTAACATCCTCGTCCTCTAACCGCCTACATCGACCAGAATAGCCCCTTTTCAGCCTTTTAACAATAGTCTCCGCTTCCAGTCTTCCTTTTCTGACATTCCTCCACTTATCTACTACGACGGTAAAATAAACGTGAGAATCGAAGCGAGAATCATATTCATGAGGCCTTCTAGAGCTTTCCTTACGCTTCTTACTATAAACAGCTATAGGGAAAACCGGAATCTTAAGTTGCAGATAGATAGATAGAAGTGTAGAGGGGCTATTGCTCGCTAGAAAATGATTCTCGTTAAGGGAAGAGAACGTAAGAACTCAAAATACAGTGTTTATAGGTATTATAAAGGATAATAACAGCTTGGCTTAAGAAATTATACTAGAGGCTATGAGTACACAATCATCTTAAAAATACAACACTAGCAAAATTACACATCCACACAAAATGAAGACATAAACAAGTATATAACACATCCATCCACCTATCCCAATCTCCCCTTCCCTCCTATTCCCATCCTATTCACTGCTCACCTATCAACCAACCAATCAACCAGCTAACCCTCTCTCCTCCCCCTTCTTCACACCCGAAGCTCCCCTCCATAACCCTAGTTAACACACTAGCTCCCGCCATTCGACGCTAACCAGGTTGATTGGCACAGTACAGTGGTAAACGCGCCGATGACAGGGCATAAAACTGTAACTTAGCACTGGCATGTAGGGCTTTTCGTCGATGACAAGATGTTGAATTGTGACTGACCAGAAATACCTCCGGAGGTACATGGTGTCGAGTTCCCCTTGCAATCTTTTTGGCACTTTTTTCCTCCGTTGGAGGCTATATTTTTTGGGTTGGGGTATAAGGTGTTAAATTCACTCATGACATAAAAAGAGTCCCTGGGAATGGGGAGAGAGAATGTAGGTAACAACCACTAAATTCTTTTCTAACCCAAGGACCGCAGTCTATACTTCTAGTAAACGCAGTCTCGCTTAGAATACCCCACCACCGTCTATCTTAAGAAGAGCTTTGATATCAGCCTCCTTAATTTTCCCAGCTGTAACAAGTCTCTTGACCTCCTCGGACCAAACGTTTTTGATCTCACCGGCAATCTTAAGACCATTCAACTTGGCCGCCAAAGCCGCCGTCTCATCGGCATCGATATTGCCCTGGACAAGCTCAACATCGTTGAGAACAGCATCAATAGCAGCAGCAGGAGCAGCGCCGTCGACGAAGTAGTTGGCATCCTTAACGGAACCCTTCATGACACGTCTGTTCTTCTTGACAGCAGCCTTCGCAGCCTCCTTAGCCTTCTTGCCTTGCTCACGATCAGCCTTTGCCTTTTCTTCGGCCTCCTTTGCAGCTTGAGCAGCGGCAGCCTTTGCAGCTTCGGCATCGTCCTTGGCCTTCTTCTCAGCGGCTTCCTTGTCAAGACGCTTCTTGTTCTTCGAGGCGTTGGCTTCTTGACGGAACTTCTTGATACGCTCGTCACCAGCCAGAACATCATCTACCAACTGACGTAGACGGGCGGTATCCTCGACCTTCTTCTTCTTACGCGCATTGTTGTTCTTTCGCTCCATATGACGCTTCTGGTCACGATTCTCGTTGTCATCAGGAACATCCTCATCTTGGTACTCAAACGACCGCCATGAATCAAAGTTGTAGAAGAAATTGTAAAAGTTCTCGACATCCTCCTTGGTACTCTTCTCATCACCGAATTTTGGTACGGGCTGGACACGCGAGAATCGTCCCTCAGCCTTGAAGACCGCACTCCAAGCCTTGTAGAACTTGCCATCCTTGATTTGTTTCTTGGTTGGGGGTTCGACATCAGCGCCCTCATCAACGGAATCAAATTGACGACGCTTAACAGGGTCAAGAAGAACCTCGGTAGCTTTCTGAATACACTTGAAGAAACTATCATCCTCAGTGCTTCCAGCAGCAGCCTTCTTATCAGGGTGATGACGAAGGACCTTCTTGCGGTGCGCACGCTTGATCTGCTCCTCGGTAGCCTTGTATCGGTATTTCGAGAGACCAAGGACGGCGTAGTGATCTTGTTGCTATTGCGGCGCATTAGTCCAATCCAAGAATTTCAACCCTGTGGCAGCGCATTACATACCTTCCAGTCTTTGGCGTCGCGCGACAACATCATTGGGTCCTCAGGTTCACTAATCTCTCCGGAATCGTCATCTTCGACCTTCTTAGCATTCTCCTGGGCTTGAATGCGATCATCCTCGGAAAAGGTGCGCTTGTGGCGGGCACGGCGAGCGTGGGCGAGGAAGTGAGGACCAACTGCTTCAATACTTCGTTGGGTGGCGGCAGACAGTTTTCCGATTGCTTTGAAGTCTTTCTCTCCAGCCCAACCCTCGGGAAGGAGGGGAAGCGGTAGGTTGACTTGAGTGTGGGTGGCCATTTTTGAAGTGGTTAATATTGTGGTGAGAGTTTTTGGAATTTTTGAAAAGTACGGAAGGCTGCGTCGGGTTATATTCGGTAGTGAAACCAAAATAGCGGCGGTACCCTCACTAATTAAGTACTTGACTTGGAAGTCGTCGCTTTCAACTCAATGACTATTTTCAAATCTCTAGGTAGGATAGGCTGAATGAACAGCTTAAGACGACAAAGATCAGGTGATTTTAATCATAATTTATGTGTCTTTTTTTATCTCTATGAACATACAATCGAAAATGTTCATTGCCTAGTCCTCTCTATCGATAAGATCCTCGATTCCATTGGATTGGCCAAACCCCTGCTCGCACGTGATTTAAAACTGCTCTCCAAATTTGATGCATATGCCCCCCGGCCCGGCCTACTCTTACTCACTCATACATCTCAGTACCTAATACTTCTCCTCCTTCCCAACCAACAGAGACTTCAGAAAAGAATCCTCCGCTATTATCGACCTTCTCGCCTCCCACAACCTCGTTTCTAGTGGCACCTTTCGCCATTCCCTCGCCACCTCTTCCGCCTTTTTCAAGCTCATCCGCTGCTTAGAGGTACGTTCCGGAACTTCCTTCAATTCTGTACTTTGCTGCTTCTCGATTTTGGTGATATATTCCTGGAGTTTCTCGATTTGTCTGTGGCTTTCATCTAATGCTTTTTTGAGCTGGTCAATTTCAACTTGAACTTGAAGTGGCTTGTAATCTGGCGTTAGGACTCCAGGTGGAACTTTGCCCAAAGCTTCAATTGCTTGTTCCAAGCTTGCTCCTTGATGTTCAATGATTGTATCTCGGGCTTTCAAGTCCTTTTTTTGTGTCTGAATTTGTTTCTCTTGGTTCGTTTTTTCTCTCTCCTCTCTTAACTTCACATCAAAATTCCTCATGTTGGCCTGAAATACAAGAGTCAGCTTTGTGCCAGATATCGAAGAGTAGGCGGAGACTTGACATACCTTCAGGGTTTGCCTCTGTTCATTTTACGAGTTCACGAGCTGCTTGTTTATCATATACATGTTGGCCATATCTTCTTGGGCTGCCCCCAATTTCAATGTGAGGCGTTTGGCCTCCTCTTCGCTTGCGTGAAGTCGTTCCTGGAGAATACTGTTCGAAAACCTTTCTTGGACAATATCACCTCGAAGCATTCCGAGCTCGTTCGCTAGGCTCTGACTGACAGAACTGCCGTGGGCTAAACCGATACTCGGTTTCTGAATTGCACGATTGAGATGTCCCATGTTGGAGGAAGCGAACGCTTCATAATCCTTCAATTTCTCCCTTAACCTATCCACCTGGAAAGTTTGTTGTTCCGTCATACCTGAAAACTACTATGCATCAGCACTTGTTCAATATCCAAAGAGTAACTGGTTGGAGAGCGTGCAGGCACGACCCGAACCATTGTCATGATGCAGACAGGGTGTTTTCAAGCATCGAGCCGACGGGTACTCACCTCGTCATCCACTTTCTGAGTAATGTTCATAATCTTGCAAAGTCCTGCTTGACTCTTCTCGAGTTCCTCTCTTTTACACCTCACATCATCCTCGAATCTCGCACACTTCGAAGTCAATTCTTGTATTTGCTTGTCCTTTATGCGCGCCATTTCCATCATCGGCGTCCGGCTGTTGAGACATTTGTCCTTTACTTCGACCAGTTTCCCATAGACTAGCTCTATGCCGTCGCTAGTGGTCAGATCACATTGTGGTTGATCCTTGACTTGAGCTTTGTTTTGCTGCTCGGTCGAATATTCAGAAGTAGGCATCAGTCTGGGATCTGTCACCCTACTGATCAGTCTCTAACTCCAGTGAGCTTGAAAGACTCAGCAGACTTACAGTCCTTTGCATCCATATTCAATGCTCCATGGTCCCCATTAGTCTGGGAAGTTTGATTATACATAGCAGCCACCATTTCTTCCCGACTAAGGCGTTGTATATCCGTCCCCGAAATTAGAATACAAATTTCCATTGCGCAGTAATCTTGTTATTGATTCCGTTCATGAAGAGGAATACAAAAGTACTCGCTAACAGACAAATTATCAGGAGAAATACGATACTCGATCGAAAGTCTTTGAAGCGTTTATCGAAGAAGAAATTCAGATAGAACCATGGCATTAGCAGCATATCGTCACGTCCTGCGTTCGGCGAGAATAGCTTTCCAGGGTACGTAATTTTTTCTCCAACTCACTCCTTCCCCTTCTCATCCAGCTTCCTCGCCACTCGTTCCTTCCCCAATCCGCTCCTTCCCCGCTCACTACACACCACTAACAACCCAAACCAAACACAGGTGACTTACCCATCCTCCAAGCCGCCCGCCTAGAAGCCCGCACAGCATTCGAACAAAAAGCCTCTCTCCAACCCAACGACCCAGCCGTCGGCCCCGCAATCGCGCACGCAGAGGAGGTAGCCAAGATCCTGACGGAAAACATTGTGCAGGGCAAGAATATTGGGGGGGATAAGTATAGTAAGTTTTCCTGTCTCTCCTTTTCCTTTTCCTTTCCTTCGAAATCTATGTGTGTACTCTCTGTTACCATCTGCTCTGAAAAACATTGGTATCGCTCAAGGGAGGTCTTGTTCTGTGCGAGGTTTGACGATTGATGGTAAGAGGTTGAGGTGGTGGTTGAGATCAACGTTTGCTGATATAAGATACAGAGTTGAGGATACATGAGAAAACTGAACGAGGGGATAATGATACGATCAAGATGCCTAATGGGCAGAAGGTAGTTATTGATGGGAAACCTTGTTCACAACGGTAGTTTACTTAGTATCGAGATGTATTCATATGTGTCAATAGAAGAGCATGAGATATATCATAAGAAGCGGTGCTAGTATGCATGATAGACAAGCGTTGCAGCATATCTATTCTCCTTTCTCATTCATTAATGAGGTGTATATTAGCTATCATACAATTGTAAATTCTTCTGCATTGCGCCTGTCATGCAACCCTCCAAAACGCCAAAGACCTTTCCCGGCCCAGGTACACTACGGCACTTATTAATTCCCCGCCAAACTAGCATACTGCACATCATCCCCTCCAGGCGGTGCAGCAACCGCACTCATACTAGCCAAAACATCCTCTCTCGCCTCCTGAACCTGTCCCTGTATCCCACCCGCACCACCTCTCCTCTGTCCACCTCCCCTTGGCGTCGCAAAAGCATGTCGTCCCTCCCGTCCCGTCGCAATCCTCTCCTCCTTATCCATCGTCCCAATGGGCCTCGGTCGTCCCCACTGAACCCTCAAAGGACACCCCGCGATTACCGCTCTCCCCTGTAACGCCTCAGCAGCAGCCTCCGCATCCTCTCTCGTAGCGTAGTTAATGAATGCGCAATGGGACATGTGTGAGCAAACTAACGATCGTAATTTGCCGTATGGTGTGAAAAAATCCCGGATTTTGTGCTCGGGGAGATCGTCTTCGACACCGGTTATGAATAGAGAGGTGATCGTTGGGTCAGAGGGGGGTGCGATATCTGCTGGTCCTGGGGGGAGTTGGGCTGCGGAAGGGAATGAACGACCGCCTCTGCCTCCACCTCGTCCTCCTCTTCCTGCTCCTCGAGATGCGCCTCCACCTCTGCTGTCGCGTGTTCGTATTGGTCCTGGTCCTCCCGTTGTTAAAGCCATGGAATTCGACGACTCTCCATTTCCCTCCCCATCTGCAGGACCTATTCGTCTTTGCTTTTTGAAGTATGGTTCGCTATTCGCTAGTCTTCTCAACAATTCTCTGGCCTTCTCGTCCGTCTTGTCATAGGCTTCCGTTCCTCCTCTGCCATCCTGAATTTCCGCCTCATGATTCTGCGCGTAGAACTCGCGATTTACTTCGCTCTGGGGACCGGGAGCGATCATTTTCAACGCGGCGTCGCGGACTACAATGGGGAGTCCAAAGGAGAGATCGAGCATGCATGATTGGCAACAGTTCTTTAGTCGGGCGCAGGTCAGGCAGATGTTGGTTCTTTTGCTACGGGCTGTACGGTCGGGTTTCCAGCGGAAATCTGTGAAGGGACGGGTACAAATCTGGAGTGTGTTAGTTTGAGTATAAAAGAGAAAGATAGAGCGGGGTGTAAACTCGCTTTACAGGCTGATCCCATGTCTTCTCTTATCATTTGGACGAAAGGGTTTTCTGGGAGGCAGTTTTCGCAGACGGAGGGGAAGTCGGTGGTTTCCCAACCCGAGCGGTTGAGATCTTGTTTTATTTGAGGAGGCATTGTTGTTTCCTGGTTGTATGATGATGGGACAGAATGCGCCCGGGTATCTTGGTTTAGTTGTGTAGATATTCGGTGTATGTTGGTCGTGGTTGATATGAAGTTGAGCGTCAGGCTGAGGCGCGTTGAAGTAAGTTGCGACCAAATTTCTCAGCAAGGCTTGCAGCCTGAGGCAGAGAAGAAGGCAGCAAGTCTGCCTTTCTATTAGGTTGATACTAATACTTAGGTTCACGTAGGAGGTGAAGGATATATTATTTAGGTTAAACAGCCCCTAGAACACTTATAAGGCTATTTACACCTTAACAAGTAGAGCCTAGGCTACTAAGCGCTTAATTAAGGCCTATTTTACTATCTAAAACTAGTAGCTGGCTGTCACGAATCACGTGTGAGCATGTGACGAGTGAAGACCAGGCGGCGCCCTGACAGGTTAAGCACTATCGTATCTCTTATAGCAAATAGGGATCGTTTAAGGTAGCTAAGCGATCCATGGATTTCATTGTATTGTAGTCACGTGACCGAGCGACCATTGTTGGTGTCGGTCGAACCGACTGTCGCTCTGCGATGATCGACAGAGAACGAAGGTTCTATATCTATATAAGACTGGCACGTCTGCCATTAGATAGGAGCTTCGTGCTCAACTTAGTTATCAATCTTATCATATTAGTTTGACATCTTTGATACAAGTAACGAGTTCACTTCCAAGTGAACAACCCGATAGTCTTCTTCTTATCATAGCATACCAACCAGCGAACACCCAGCCAAGTTTAGTTAGCCAGTTTGAGTATTCGTTACACTGGCTTAGGGATAGCAGAGGGTTAATAAGAACCTACTTTTTATAAGCTTATAATAATAATTAGTAGATTTATTATTATTATAGATAAGTAATCGAATAGATTAAATAATATATTTACTATAAATTTTAAGAGTAGTTATAGAATTATCTTACTTTATACTATATGAGGTTCTATATAATTATACTTAGTAATAGTAACTAAGGGTATATATTAGTAATTAAAACTCTATTAAATCTTAAAAGTATATTAGCTAATATATTCCTAGGAGCTAATATACTATAATCTTAATATTATACTTTACTATAATAAAGAGTATTTAATATAAAGATATATTTATTAAGCTTTTTAATAATTATTTATTAAAACCTATAAATACTATAGTATTATCCACATAAATATAAACTCTTTTAGTTAACTAGGATAAAGCCTATTACTTAAATACTTCTTTAATTACTTCTATCTTTATAATATTTATACTAAATATATTATTACTACCTTAATTTATTAACTTTATAAATACTATATATTATTTGATCTCTAATGTTTAATCTCTCTAATTTATCTATCTATTTAGATAAAAACCTTCTATCTCTTAAATTAAAGTATCTATAAATAATTAAACTTCTACCCTATCTTTTATAAATAAAGTAATACCATTAAAGTCTTAAACTATATTATACTATTACTTAATATCCTAATAAGCCTTAATTAGTATTTACTTAGCCTAATACTTTATTACTACTAGTAGGAACAAAGTAACGTAGCTCTAAAGGTTCTTATAAAATATCTAGCTAAGCTAAATTACTAGAGTATAAAAGGTAAGAAACCCTACTAACTTTCTTATATTTTATAGTAAAAGTGATTTTCCTACTAGTATGTTTATAGTTAAATATAGCGCCTTTACTACTTTATTTTATAAGATCCTTAGTATAAATTCTATTATATCTATTATATATCCTAAGACCTTAACTTAGGTTCCTTTTACGTTCTTTTACTTCTTTTAAGGTATTCTAAGAACTATTATAAATCTATTATAATTATCTTTAAACTCGAGTATTTATTCTTGTAATAATCCTATTTAAAGGATTACTATAAAGTTATCTCAATAGTAGATTATATTCTCTTACTTTAAATATAATTATAATATCTAATAAATTACTTCTATAAATATATTAAAGATAAAAGAAGAGGTTTAAAGTCTAAATATTAGATAGTTCTCTTAATAAAATTAGTTATTCTATTCGAATCTAAATATCTACTAAACCTTATATATTAGTAGAATATTTTTAAATACGTCTACTATATTATACTTTATAATTAGCGTAACTCGGCCTTTTTATAGAGCTATTATAATAATTTAGTATATTAATAAGTATTTCAAGTATACTACTTTTATATTAATCTTATTATTAACTAAATCTATAGTAGGGAAGAATAGATTATAAATTTATTAAAAAGTACTATCTTCTTTTAGTACTAATTTAAGTGATAAGAATATAAATCTTCTAGGTAGTAGTAGTTAAACTTTTAAAATTTATCTTAATTCAAGATCTTTTTAAATACTTATTTTTATAGACCTTTAATTAAGATTTAATAATTTATAATTCTTTGAAATTAACTATTTCTCCTCTCTTTTATATCTAACTAATATACTAAATTAAAGGATTTAATATAATATAGAATCTTAAATACCCTAGATATTAAGCTAATAACTCTATTTATATATTAATTCTAAAAAGTAATAGTAAGTTAATTAATAGCTTAGCTAATCTATTATAATATTAAAATAAAGGTAGAGTATTAGGATATATAGGTATAAGATAGTAAGAGTAACTTTATATAAATATTTAGAGTAATTCTCCTAATTATATATTAGATACCCCTTTTCCTATACTAAACCTTTATTTAGTTTTAGCCTTATCTTCTAGTTTTTCTTCTTTATTATTTAAAGCCCTATTACTTATACTAGAGCTATTAACTTTATATTCCTTAATTATATATTTTCTCCTATATCTTATATAATTATAATAGTATTTATACTAGGTAGTAGTATAAGTAAAATTATTAAAGTTATATTATAAAGCTAATATATTATTTAGCTCTTTCTTAAACCTAACTTTTTTAACTTTACCTTCCTATCTACCTATATTTAATCTAGTACTATTTTAGTTTAGTATTCTTAGATATAGATAATAGTATTATATAATATATTATTCTAGAAGAAGCTAATTATTAGTATTATATAAATTATTTTAAAACTTTTATTCCTTATAAAATTAGATTACTAGTAAAAGAACTCCTTTTACTAGTAATCTAATTTTACTAATCTTAATATCTTGTTATAGAATACTATTTAAGCACTATTTAGGGTTAGGTATTTATCTCTAAAAAAGATATTAATAATTAATATATACTACCTAAAACCTTTACTCTAAATTATATATATATTTCTATAATCTTTTAATTTACTTTTAACCTTTAACTTATACTTTTTATTTTTCTATTATTAAATACTATATTATAGTCCCTCTTATTATTATTAAAATCTATTACAAAAGTCAATTTATAAACGTTAATTAGGTCGAATTTCTCTAGTATAATATCTATTATATATTTATAATTAATCCTCTAAAATTATAGTAGAAGTTACTTTTATTTATTTAATAGCTTACTTTTATTATTATTATCTACTATCTAAACTTTACCTACTCCTTATACTTATACTAGTTCTACTATAGTATTAAATACTCCTCCTAGGTTATTTATAATAGTTATAATCCTTACTTATAATTCCTATCTTAATAACGCTTATTTTATATTATATTCCTCTAATTATAAATAATTCTTTAATAATAATTAACCTTATAACACCTATTAAATTAGTAGTAATTAGTTGTTTTATTATTATCTTTGTAATAGTAGTAGAATTAAGCTACCTAAACCGGAGCCCGTTTATTATAGAGCTAATATATTATTAAATTATTAATAAACGTTAAATAAGAGTATACTTTTAATCTTAATAAAAGAACTAGCCTTTTAGTAAGAAACTACTCTTTACGAGCTTATAACGACAATTAGTAGATTTGTTGTTATTATAGATAAGTAATCGAATAGATCAAACGATATATACAAGCTTGCTTAGTCACCCTCGATACGCAAATCACTTCCTTTTTTCCAAAGATTGTCACGTGTTAGACTTAAGCGAACACGAAAACGAATTGCTAACCAATCCTTAATGCTGGATATTGAAATCCAAGATGCAGATTGTCGGTGGCTTTCAGATCTAAAGATCCGACCAATTGAAAATGGAAAGATATCATACTGGAAAGCTCTTCCTCTCCAAGCGGTCAATGAACCCGTGACCTAAACGAACACGAGAGCTGGAGCGGAATTTCTATTTATCCATCTGCAGCAAAAGCTGTCCACAGGTGTGTTGTGTGCTGTAGGTGTGCCAAGACATCACTCCACCTTCCCCTGTTGACCCCCGTTGACCCCTGTCCCAAGGAAATTCGGTGCAGGGGACTTGTCAAAAGTTCCCTCCGTCGAAGGTCAAAAGGAGATGAAAGTCCATGAGCTTTTTCCCTCCTCTTCACCGCATCCCACTTCAACTTTCTTTCCTCCCGTTCCCCATTTTATTCTTTTGCAGCAGCACTTCTTCAACCTCTATCCCTACTTAATTCAACATGACTTCCAACGGCGTCAAGCTCGAGACCGAGGACCACTCCCGTGATGCTGCCTTCAACAAGGCCATGCACTTGGACTCTTCCAACGCCACCGGAGGATGGAGCGCCATGATGAAGAAGGACAAGGCCGCCCAGAAAGCTGCGGTGGATGAGTACTTCAAGCATTGGGATAACAAGACTGCAAAAGACGAGACTCTGGCGGATCGAGAGGTATGTAACTCTGTGGTGCCGCAAGTATACAAGTACCTCCCTGCTAACAATTCTCCCCCACCACAGGCAAGAAAGGCCGAATACGCAACCCTCACAAGACAGTAAGCGGCCCTATTTCACCTTTGGCTATTCGTGTATACTTACTATCAACGTAGTTACTACAATCTCGGTACTGATCTCTACGAGAACGGATGGGGACAGTCTTTCCACTTCTGCCGTTTCGCACATGGAGAGGGTTTCCACGCAGCCATTGCCAGACACGAACATTACCTCGCTGCCAAGATTGGAATTAAGGATGGAGACAGAGTCCTCGATGTAGGATGTGGTGTTGGTGGACCAGCAAGAGAAATCGCCAAGTTCACAGGTGCTCATATCACTGGATTGAACAACAACGATTATCAAATTGAGCGTGCCACTCGATATGCCGCAAAGGAGCACCTCTCCAACCAATTGACCTTTGTCAAGGGTGATTTCATGGTGAGTCTTTCCCAATGGCATAATTTGAAGTTATTCTAATACCTGGCAGCAAATGGCCTTCCCTGCAGAAAGTTTCGACGCTGTCTATGCCATTGAAGCCACCGTCCATGCCCCAAGTCTCGAGGGTGTCTACTCACAAATCTTCCGCGTTCTTAAGCCAGGTGGTGTCTTTGGTGTCTATGAATGGCTTATGACCGACAACTACGACAACAACAACGAGCACCACCGCGAAATCCGTCTTGGTATCGAGGAAGGTGACGGAATCTCCAACATGGTCAAGATTTCCGAGGGTATTGCCGCCATCAAGGCTGCCGGTTTTGAGCTCGAGCTTCACGAGGATTTGGCCAAGAGACCTGATGCTACTCCTTGGTACTACCCTATTGCTGGTGACTTTAAGTACATGGGTTCATACTGGGATTTCTTCACTATTGCCAGAATGACCAAGCTTGGTCGTGGAATCGTCCACAAGTTCGTTGGTGCGCTGGAGATGGTTGGTATTGCTCCAGGTGGAACACAGAAGACTGCGGATAGTTTGGCAAAGGCTGCTGATTGTTTGGTTGCTGGTGCCAAGGAAGATCTTTTTACGCCTATGTACTTGATGATTGCACGAAAACCTCTCGACAAGTAAATGATCTTGTCTGAAGGCTGTGGTTCTGGAAAAATTCCATTCATGAAAGGAATGGACTCAATTAGGGAAATGGTCCTGCTATCGGAGTTGGGGGGACAAGACTTTGTACATTGAATGATGGTGGTTCCATCATAGCCATCGTGGACGGGGCTTGTTTGTGTATAGAAAGGAAGCTCGCGTCCATTGATGATGAGGTTGGGGGCGGAACGAATGTTTGAACGCATACAACTAATATACCTAATATCAAGATCTCGAAAAATAACCTCCTTGCTTTTCCTTAGTCTCTTCGTGGTATAACTACCCTTGATACTCGCTTATATTGCTATTCAAAGACCCATCTTGTACCCCAATCTTACGAAGTCCATACAGATAGTTGTCTCCGATAATTCACTCATCCCTTCATGGCCCCTCGACCCGATTCTCCAGTTTAAGTTTAACACCTTCTCCCTACCTCAGCACTCCCCTCCTCTCCCCTTTACTATGAATACCCTCGTCATCCATAAAATCCCAAGACAACGAAACACATCTCAACAACCCCCCATATCAACAAGCCCACATCTCAAATCTTCAAGCCTGGCCTGGACTGGACTTGGGTAAAGACTAACAAACAGTTCTACCATGTCCACTTCGCCGCAAGAATACCCCTTCGTGGTAGTGTATCCCTTAGCCACGCTTACCGTTTGTGTGTGGGCATTTGTTCTAATTTCCCAACGATAGATGTCTGTGACCGACCGTTCGTCTAGATCTTGTGTTTTTAGCGAGGACGGGGAGGTCTTGGGGCTGTGATCGCGTTTTTTTTTCTGGGGGTTTTTGGGATGTTGGTTTTTTTGGGGATGGAGGGAGGTTAATGGATGGGTGGGGTTGACGGGGGAGGAGATTTGTGGTAGGAGGTAGGTGATGATTTTCTTGTTTTTGGGGGCGAGAGGAATGGATAGGTGAAATGAGCTTGCTGTGAGCTCTGGTGGGATAGTGCTTGAGCCTTTTTGAGTACCAAGTATGAGGGAGTGGATATGTGAATACAGTAATCTTACGTCTGACCACCACTTTTTGACTATGGTTCCACTTCACTCCAACACAGGATCGAAGGTGGGAACAGGAATTTGGGATCTTAAGATGTTATCACAAGTCCGTGGAGTTTTTACATAGAAAATGGAGCGAATATATAGGGGAGTATCATGGTAGTAATGTCTATAGATACTGTTAGGTATTCTCCATCTCATCTTCTTACCTTCCGGGGTATCTTGTGGACCGACAACCTGGCTTTTATAATTTATCGCCTTGATATGGGTGTATAGCACAGGGAATTGGTAACTGGTACTTCCACGAAGCCTCAGTGGTACATTTGGTCTATTCATGGACAGTTAGCTAGCTTATATTCATAGCTGCTGCGCGCAAGAGTATGTGAGGGGATGCGAAGTTATATATAATATCCGTGGACTCTGGGACGAATAGTTCTAGTTATCCTTTGGAGGTTTGTTTAAGAATTCAGATTCAGAATGTGCGTGGGATTGCAAAGCCTGGGTTTTGTTAAAGGCGATGATGGTTTCTCTCTGTTGTTATGTGCGAATGATCTTTTTTGAAGAATTGGAGGTTAGATATTTTAAGGGGTGTCGCTCTTGTCGCTATTTTGAGTATTCTTTTCTGGGTTGTCCTAGATAGGATTAGCTATTCATATGAATCTGGCATTCTACGCAAATCTCACAGAGATATATTGTAGTAACGCTAAGCGAAATAATGGCGATTAACTCTAGCCTGCCTGTAAAGTAGTCTCAAAGTCACCTGGGGTTATAGCAAAGCAGTTTTAATAACAAGTTCACAGTAACGAATACAACAAGTTATCCACAATACACCTGGTTGTAGATATACCCGTTGTCCTGAATACTGATAATAAAATGTCTTCGCCTAGTGGCTTGTTGATACTAGGTTGCTTGATAAATATACCATCCTAGACTAAGCATCTGCCTATACTATAGGTCCTCGTCTATGATCAGTAAACAGGCTCTGTGTACTCATAATACTCTGAAAATTGTGCCTTGATACCTAGTGGGGACACGCTAATGGGTATACCGTGGATTCTTAACCTACATTCACGCTCTACAGCACCTGGGGCTTAAGCGAGGACTTTTACCTTGTTTTTGAGAACGCCAAAAATTGGGCTATGGAGGTTGTAACTTAAGCCTTCATAACCTCTATTAAAATTCAAAAACTTTAGATGTTTACAACACGGATACATAAGCTAGTATACTAAATAGAGAAGTTTTGACGTTGCCTTTAACAAAGAACAAAAAATAATATAAAGCTCTTTTAATTATATTGGGACCAAGCTATGAAAAAAGTAACCTGTAGGATCTAGGGGATATTGTGATACGGGGTTCGTCTCCGTTTGGGAGGATACTAAGAACGAAAACAACATTGACAGGTTGTTTTCACTTTCGCCACCAAAGCGATATTGAGGGGCAATATTCTGCGAAACAAAAAGTGACCTATCGGTACGTGGATGGCTTTTGTACTAGGCTGAAGGAGGCGAAGCGCACTCGGAGGATTCCATAAATGGACGATATTGAGGCACAATATTTTGACTTAAGAAAGCCGAGGAATACCAGAGCTCATTCATGTGGATCAGAGCCTTGAGATAGAATGGAAATGAGTATAATGCTCAGGGGAGGAAAGATATGAGGGGGGGTCCAAAGAATTGGTGTTTTGATAGCAGTCTTGTGTATCTCTTTTTTGGCTTTAATGTATGATAGATTTATATAATGATTCATAAGAGGTAAACACTTCCGGGCTACCACTGAGGTCTCCCTGCCACCTCGTACCCCACTTTACTGACCCCAGTACATATCATGCTGTGTTTGATCTTTCCAATGAATATGAATGCCATAATAACATCTCGGATTTAACTGCGCCTTTTACCCGTTCACCGCTTTTTGATTAAAGTTGATAATATCATCTCTCGCCTCAGTTTCTGTGCTTAAATCGACTCCACTAAAGCACACTTTTAAAATATTGTGAAAATCTCTCAACCCCTGATGACGATGAAAGAGATGGGGACTTTTGAACCTTTGTCTGAGATAGCACGTATTGATACAGAGAAGAATATATCAGTGGTGCAAAAGAAACAAGCAGGGAGCAATGGAGGGACCGACGTCGATGTTCAGAGCAATGTGGAGCCTCCAGTGGAAATTTCGCTACCACAGACTTGGTCCAAACCTCGCAAATGGTGCACTGTTCTCATCATAGGTCTACTCTCTCTTATGGTGTACGTTTATCTCCTTGTTTTGCAGAACATTTGGGTACTAATTGTCTATAGTGCTATTGCGCTTGTGATCAATGCCCCCGTGAGTGATGCCATATCCGGTGAATTCGATAACCACAGCGGCTTCCTTTCCGTATTTTATATCACCGTTCCCAATCTTGGTCAGGTTCTCGGCGCTCTCTACGTCGGACCTTCGTCGGAACGCTTCGGAAGGGTGCCTATCATCCACGGCTTTACTGCTCTATGGTTGATCTTCACAATGGTCGGTGGATTCAGCACCAGCATCGCTCAAATCATAGCATTCAGATTTTTGACCGGAGCAACCATCTCTTCTATCAACTTGAACCCCGCCATTGCGGGTGATTTATTCGCGCCAACAGAGAGAGGAGTTGCATTGTCAATTGCTGGCATAATGCCCCTCGCTGGCAGCGCGATTGGCCCTATTATCGGCCCACGACCAAAATGTTGAGCCCAGCGGTGTGCTTCGAAAAGCGAATTGGTCTTCAGTCAAAGCGCTTTTTCTTTTCGTCCTCCGACCTTTTATCACCCTAAATCGCTCCAAAATCGCCGTGTTGATGGGCTTTTATATGGCCTTTTGTTTTGGCTACTTGTCCGTAGTAAGCTCAACAAATGCTACCGTTATTCAACAAGTTTATCACTTCAGTGAAGGATCGTCAGGCTTGATTTACTTGTCTCCAAGCGAGTGTCTGCTCCTAAGTCTCAGATCAAACGTGCGGTAACTGTCAGAATGCTAATTCGGGCATCTTTCTATTAGCCCTCGGGACCTTGGCCGGTAGCCTATACTGCGGTTTTACGCTCGATCACTTCCTCGTGAAGGGCTTGCCGTACACGAAGACAGATGTGAGCAGTCCACGTTCGGAAAACAGGCTGATCCCAACCATCCCAGTTTTTATTATATATCCCGTCGGACTGCTAGTATATGGGTGGTCTGTCCATGAGCGTATACACTTCATCGTCCCTATCTTCGCCACATTTCTTTATGGATTTTCGCTTACAGCCGCCTCTATTCCTGTCATGAGCTACATCGTGGACATCTTTGGCGACTTCTCCGCTTCGGCAGTCGGGGCAATATTTCTGCTTCGCTACCTGCCTGGTGCATTTTTCCCCATCGCGACGCCGTACATGTATGCAGCGATAGGTTACGGATGGTCAAACACTATCATGGCACTGATTTTGAGTCTGTTTGCGCCAATAATATTTCTAGTTATCATTAAGTCTCCAAGTACCAATGCGGGATCTGAGGAAGTGATGTATGGCTCCGATCAAGATCAGGTGGCTGCTAAAAGGTAGTTTAAGACTTCAAGAATCCAGATAATGATATAAAAAAAGTAGCTTACAAAGAGTAACCCTCCCTACCTATAAATATATAACTGTCTAAGACAACGTGTATTAGCTACATTTGTTCAATAATATTGATAAATAGCTTGGGCGGTTGAGTTTGGGTTTGAGTTGCGAGCCCAAACACTATTGGTGGATAAGAAGATTTCGGTGTCTGAGATGGCTACTTCTTTGGCGATGAGAAACAGGAGCAAGAAGCGTAATAACAGCTAGTTGAATAATATTCACCATATGAGCAGACTTGGTTAGCTTTGCGACGTTCAGACTTTCCTTGATGGGATGAATTGGATTGCATTATAAAAGGCTTTCAACAAAATCAAGCTTGTCTTTACCAACTCGCCTACTCGCCGTATGTTATGAGCCTCCTGAGATCTCGAATTCATGGCTATCAGCCTATTCCTACCCAGTTGACAAAGTTCCTGGGATGACTGAGATGTGCTTATTCAAAGTAACGTGAGCTGAACTAAGGGTACCAGGAGCTGTAGGAACCACTCCCATTTCATTTTGGGACCATAGGAAAGAGATGGCGGATGAGTTACTCAGTGGAGGTCTTCTTGGATTTGTTGATCCGTGTATTCAAGAATGCTTCTGTAGCAAAACTTGCGATCTTAATTACACCTTTCCAAAATCATACAGAGCAATAAATTGACGAGCAGAAATATTGTCAAGAAAAAACCACAAAATATGAGTGTTAAATCTTGCCTCGTCGCCTCGGTCAATTAGATCATTAGGAGCGTTGGCATTCATCTCTACTCAATGAACATTTAGGACGTAGCCAGTGCTCCACTGCTAGGCGGAGACAGGGGTCGAGGAAATGGGACCCATACCACACGCCGCTATTTGATTGGACGCACAAATAAAAATACCCGCAATTTAAGCGACAAAACTATAGATATCAAAACAAGACAACCAACACCATCGAAAGCTGGTACCTGCCCGCCTGGCCCAGTCAGTTAGTGTGTGCTCCCACATGCTCCAATTCACACAAGCGCCAACACCACGAAGCTGTTTCCTCAGTTAATTTGGACGCGCCCTGGTCGAGCGTCAGACTGCTCGGTCGTATGTAAATGTAAGTCCTCCTTGAATCTCTAAAAAATGCTCGTACTAATCTTCTCTGGAAGAAAAAAGATAATAGTAAATCTTTTTCTCTTTTTTAGATTTTCTTTAGTGTTGTAGTCTTTTCTCTGTTCCTGTTTTTTTTGGGTAGAGCTTTTGCAGTCAATTGCCTCGTGAACCTAGAAGCGCTGACTCTCGAAGCACCAACGATACTAACTGTTACAATTATAGAAAAGAGAAGAAAGAGAGTGCGCCGCCACAGACTGCGAAGCTAAAATTGAAAAGTCAGTTAGTCTACGTTTTCTCCTAACATTTACGTGTGAACAAATACCAATGTATCGAAGTTGGTCTAGGAATATGCGTCCGCGAAGAGAGATGTAAGGCCCAGCCCCCACGACCAATAGGTAGGGACCATGCACGAATTCTTTTGCTATTTATATATCTGATTTGTAATTCTTTTTCGATTTTTGGGTGTTGTTTATCTTTTTTGGGTCAAGCGAGGTGGGGCTCGTTGTCGTGGTATGGCAATGGAGCGCGCAGTAAGTTGGCCGCGAAGTCTTAAATGAAACACAATGACGATATTTGTATACTTCTGGTATCAAATTACTGCCACTGAATAGACCAATCGAGGGTCAATTCATTGTCGCACTAAAATAGTGCTAATACAGAGACTTCTGAGCGGCAGTGGGATACGGCAGTGGTTGCAGACACGTTGAAGACTTATTCAAGACTTTGAAAGATAATGAGTTACATTATTCGCGCCTGGAGAACAGTATAATTATATGTGAAGCATTTTTCAATGCAAAAGAATTCAAAAGTTCAGTCGCGAGCTATATAGCGCATGGGACAACCGAAATACATCGTTCTTGACGCATGAAAACGAGAATCATTTGCAAGAGTTGCTTTGAAGGCTTTACGCATTCTTTTCATGTTCCAAGTCAACCACCGATGGATACCAACCAGCAAGTCTTTAGTATCAGTGAACACAGAATGAGGATTAAAAGACAGTGATATTGATCCAGGAAAAAGCACTGTATACACCTTTTCCATGGATCTGAATCAACAGAGAAGAGCCCCACGTCATTTTCAGACCCATTTTGGAAAATTGCAGCAAGACTATGCGTTTCTAAGACAAGACGTAACTCTATTTTCTGTTTTAGTCTGAGAAAATCGTTTCAGCAATTGCTGGGTCTTGGGAGTTGACTGGTAAATCACTTTGACCTTTTCCACTGATGGTACACATATTTATATATCCTTTTTGGCGTTTCGTAATATGAGTCAAGTAGACTGTTCTAGAAAGTCTGCGTAATAGATGCTTGAACACGTTGTCTCAGAGGTCTGCTTCGTGTCGGATAATGTGTGGAACGTGAAAGAAGATCTCCGAAGAACTTTCGAGAGTAGAAATGAAAGGGGATGCCATATCCTGATTGTTCCTGCCCAGCTGTCAGAATCCTTCACTATCAAAACCTAATTATCAAACTTCGGAGCAGTGACGGTCACCATGTGTTCGATCAAATGGGATCCATACCGAAGCTTCAATAATCCCAACCGGGGAGATAAAAGCATGAAATGTGTCGGATTCAACAAATTTGGAAATCGATGTGAATGCGATATCCCACCGAAGACAGTCCGTCGGATCCGCAATTACCTATCTACGTTCGAGTCTCAAGCACCCGAAAAGGACATATCTGCACTCCAAACCCTCGCCGAGTTGAGTCTTTGTGAAAAGCACCATCAAGATCAAGTGCGTGACGAGGTCTTTGAATGGAAAGTCGCGATTCAGCATGCAGCACGTTTCTACGAAACCGAAATGGAATTGAGGGAGAAGGATCGGAAACTGAAGAAAGTGGAGAAACTGCTGGATGAAGAAATATCGAAGAGGCGGAAGTTGGAGAAAGAGGTGGCAGAGATGGCAAAGGAAAGAAAGAAAAGGTTAAGCTTGATAGAATCACTGAGGTCGGAGATTTCTTTCTTGAAAGAGAGGCTAAAACACGGGGAACGTCAAAGGAAAAGGTGGGGATTGCTGTAGTCATACGTTGAATCGATGAGAAAGTTATCCGCATAGGGAAAAAGCATCAGCACACAATCACAACATAGGAGCATAATACAGAGAAAGTTCTTTCAATGAGCTCGCAAGTAGAGAAGTTGCCAACAAGTCATCCTTTTCAATCCAGTTTATGGGACTAATGCAAGTGCCCCTAGAATAAATATGAATGAAGTGAGCAGTGAGCAAGATTCCCCCCTGGCCTTGGGGGACAGAATACCACCGCCTACTTGAAATATGCTTGAAAGAAGCTGAAAAACGTTCGACTATGGTTTGACAGCGCTAATAAATCTCAAGGCAAATATAGTTGTAAGATAAGGAGCTAGCGAAGAAAAACATGGAAATCAGACTTTCAGCAAGGATACAGGAATTAAAAGCTCGTTTAAACGAATTAGAGGGAAAAATAGCACGGAAAACCCTCCACCCTTTTGAGCCCTTCCTGAGAACTGCTGTTAGGTATCTGTTACAATAAATGCCATTCTTGGCAGGATACTTACAGTGTTTAGGTACTTGGGTTTGGGCAGATATCTGTCATAGCATGTCCTGCGGCATACAACGCCAGCTCCGACAATCCAATCCATTCCAACTTCATGAGGTTATCAATAAATATGCAATAAATTCCAATATATAACGATTTAAGTACCAGCTAAACCAAAATAATCGAATCAACTACCTATTATTGGCTCTGTTTCAACTCCCCAGGGCCACCACTTGATTATTGGGCAATGGCCTCAAACTGCGAGTAGCCCCCTTGTGACTGGATGGTTGCTTTTCGTACTTTACAGTACAGTACATGGCTCAGGGGGTAGGTACATAATACTTGGGTGCAGGTCGACCCCAGCTCCGGGAATCTCCACCACCTTCGTTGATGAACATCCATTGAATTAAACAGTCCATTTAGAGGAAGACTATCAAGGCCATTTTGTAGTCGAAGAATCGACAACGTACTCAAGCTCGCTTCTTGTCCTATACAACAACTTCTAATATCCGAACATTTTCTAATTTCTAATTGTTATCAGAGCTTCGAAGATGTGAAGAATTGGCGCTGTCAAACAATATTTCGAGGAGCATGGCGTCACACAACAGAATTGAGGCTCCCAACCCTCTCTTTGTCGCTACTATATTTAAAATTTTAAACACAGTGAAATAGCACAAAGATATCAGAAAGTTCAGAAAATTAACGAGGTGAATGATCCATTTCATACCTACCCCCCTTAAAGGCTCACTTGACCTCTCCTTCAAAAACAGACTGTCAATTTGTTTCTGAACAGCCCAATCTAGTTTCATTACAACAGTTCCTCTCAACTCCAGGCACACAGCAGCTACAGTAGTGCCAATCGCACACTCATGCAGCCCAAACATAAAACTGCAGGCCTTGAGCCTCGGCCAACTCCGCATCCAATTGGAGTTGGAGAAGTAACTGAGAGCAGAGAAACAATAACATGATTCGAGAGTCAGAACAATGCACGCCCATACAAGTATATATCTTACTTCATTACGGACGTATCTGGACTGACGATGACGTATCGCCGGCAGCTTGCGTGGCGCAGAGCCTGCCAAGACGTGCGCAGCCTGGGCACGAGCAGTACTAACACCAGCAGTGACGAAGTAGCAGCTGCAGACCGAAATATTTTGCTATAAATTCCTGCCCCAAGACCTGTTATTCTTTTTGTCGAGCATGGTTCATCATACCTTCTAGAGTGTATCTTTTACAACGAGCCTAATAATGGCAGGCAGAAACGAAACGAGAATGTCATTCTCTATGCGAGACGACGATCGCGAGTATTCGAGTTTCGAGGATATCTACAGCGACCACTCGGCCCCGCACAATCATGACAGCTCTATATTAACAGATGCGGACTTTGACTTGGACGGATTCCTCTACTACAATCAAGACCATCAGCCCAGCAATGTGAATCAGAGCAGCTCCGAACTTGGCTCGTCAAGATCGGCAACCCTCGAGAGCCCGCTGCCCGTTTCACAACAGGGGAGGATACTCCAGTCTCGTCAATCTCAGCCCAACTCTTCTACAAAGTCATCATTCCCGCAGAATGAAATATTGGAAGACATGGAAATAGACGATGGGCAACAACACAGTGAACAAAAAAGAAGCGAAAACGGAGGAGGTGGAGATATTTTGGAGGCTCTTTCTTCCGTACAACAGGTATGCAGTGAACGGATTTCTATTTATCCTCACACCTTGATAGACGAAAAGATGACGGTGAAGTATCGTCGTCCTTGTCTCGCTTGAGCAACTAGAGCGGGTCTCTTGGCTACGCCAACCGAGAGTATTTAGAGTTCACAATGAACGTCATTCAATTGTCCACACATACTGACGTTATCTACCAGGCACCCGAATCTACAAGAAATAAAGATACGCTCGCCTCGATTGGCATTCCCACAGGCGACACAGCAACATATTCACTTAACAGACATGAGCCACGACCATACAAACGTTCGAGGACGGAAAATGAAGATAAACACATCGAAGGCCGTCAGGATTATCTGCGGATGGTGTTGGAAGGGTACCACAGACATTTCTCTATTGATCCATCCCCTGGCCAGAAGAAACACTTGGCAAGCACTTTTGAATTGACCATTGAGGCCGTGGACAAATGGTTTTGGGACCAGCGAGCATCGAAGAATGCTCCAACGATAACCCCAGCAATTGTGGTCCACGGTAATACCCACCATTCTGCTGATTCTTCAAGAGAGCAGTCCTACAAGCAGGAGCTTGATATTTTCACGCAGAAGGGTCAACTAACTCCGTCAGAAACAACCACCTTTGGAAGCAATCACCCTTTTTCTTGCACGTATACAAATTGCCAGCAGTCATTCAAGTCGCCCTCAGATTGGAAGGTCCACGAAGAGCTCGTTCACTGGTTGCAGAAACGATACTTGTGCTTATTTTGTGCTATTCTTCCGGCTAATGATCAGTCGAGATTTTCTTGCAAGTCCTGTACAGACGCCTCTCCTATGCTTGATGATTGTATGACCCACGTTATGCAATGCGAACGCGCCCGACGGCAACAGACATGGAAACGATACCATGATTTTAATCGCCATTTGTCAAACCATTCACATGAAGATCAAAATATGCAATTCCAAATCGAACTCGTGAAACGCAACAAGGACTGGCATTACCCAGTAGAGTCAAATTGGCCGAGGATTTGCACTTATCCTAATTGCTCGCAGGAATTTAGATCGTGGTCAGAGAGACAGGAACACTATCCGTCTTGTCATTTCAAAAACAAGAAGTCTGTCAGTTCGCGGAAGAGTGGAACCAGCTCTTCGAAAATCAATATGCCTAGCACATCGAGTGCCTATCCACGGTGGTCCCAGGAGCCACAAGACACCGGGTGAAAGCCTCCCACGATGAAGACCAACAGATAACCAAGATCCTACAAATTGAGCTGTTGCTAACCATCCAATCCGTAAGGAATGCACAAAGACAGCTCTATTTTGAGACAGAGGCCTCCACTCGAGATGCCTCCCAATACATTTTCAAGAATCTCAGGCCTTCAGCGAAAGCGTTGGTACCACGCCCTCTGGAAATAGAACCAACGACGGAACACGCCATAATAACCCTCAGGAGGTTCAACCAGGCCTCGAGCTACATACCAAGATACCAATCCTAATGCGAATGGCAACAGTACTTTCAATGGAACAGTATGATCACCGAAAAGCCCTCTGACTACCAGCGACCTTGATATCAATCAGACAACACAATCTTGTCCTCAACTACAACAAGACACAACACTTATCGAATAAGAACACTGGAGCAAATTGTTCTGCGTCGTGGTTGCGTGGTGCCCAATCCGGGAGGGTAGTTGTGGGGGGAACATCCTTCAGGCTTTGAACACCCTGTAGCTTCAGGCTGTCTGTCACTAACTGCGACATGCAACAAAACTTCGAGATTATTATATAATCTCGAATTCGCTTACCAAGTTTGAGTCCAGGGGCTTTATGATTGGACAATCGATTCACCTCTTGAGGAGGGTGAGGAAGGTCGGGCTAATGGTTTGGGTTTCGCTTAAAGTAGAGTTTGGAGAGAGGGGAAAGGAGTGGGACTGGAAGTGAATGCTATGTATATTATCTAAGACATCACTTCATTATCTATTGTAATTGTGCTCAGTGACGTCTTGCATAATCCATAACTACTGTACCCATCTCAGATAACTTTCAAGAATCTAGCGGTCGATTTACACACAATTTAACACCTGCCTCGTCCTCGCTCAACATCGTAACCTGCCTCGTCCTCGCTCAACATCGTAACCTGCCTCCCTTTTGTACCCCGAAAACGCCCTACTACCACCACCAAGAAAACCCTCAACTCGTTCTCTTCAAAAAAAGAAAAGAAGAAAAAAAACCAAACCCATCCAGCAAATATGCTTTACCAAGAAACCGATCAAAGATTTACTCCTACAACACAACAAACTCTGTCTCTACGAGGACGGAAAACCCTTCGTAGTCTGTTCCTGTAGGATCAAGCTTGTTTTTACAATCTTGAATAACTAACTTATAACAACATAATTGAAAGGACTCAGGTGCAGTAGAAATACATAGAAGTCAAGCCATAATCTACTAGCATTTTTTATAGTTTCTGATATCTGTAGAGCAACAATTTTGAGTTCTAAACCCAAGGCGAAGCGGTATTCTTACAAATTCGGAAGTTTTTACGTCCTCGTATAGTCTATATCATATTCCCAGATGTATGCCCTTCCATTAACACTCTATAATCTAAGGACCAACCTGCGTACTAGGCGGAAAGTCTGAGCCATTTTTGCACCAAAACTCGGCATATTTACTCGTATAAAAAGTATAAAAGATTGCTAAGCTATATATAATCCTTCCTATGATCCCCTTATCTTAACATCCCCCTCTATTCTATCTCTTCAAATTTTGTTAGATAATATAAGGGGAAGAGTAAAAAGCGTGTAAAGTAGTCCATTTTTAGAAATAGCGCATTTTACACTAAATTTAGCCTAAATTCGGTACAAAAAAAGAATATCTAGAAGGTTATAATATATACTAATAAAAACTTTATATATAGCTTAATGCACCTATGTAAAACGTGTTATTTGTGTTCTTAACTATAACTTTATAAGAGGAATATGGTTTTTATTAAGGGCTGATGTAGTTATAGGTTATAACAAACTAGGTAAAACTTCGATTATTGGTGGGGTTCGGCTAAATAGCTCAGACTTTCCGAAGGGTACTGTAAGTTATTGGCAGCCTCTTATTCGATCCTGAATATTGGACATACCTTCTACAGAATGGTAAGAAATAAGTACTGAGGGAATGAGATAAGGCTTCCTTGGTCTTCAACGCAAAGTCCATGTGGCAATGATGAGTTTAATATAGCTCAGAAAGCTCGTAACATCGAGTCAGAGAGTAGATGCTCGATGGATTGAGCACAACATACAGTATTCTGTGCTTGGAATATGCGAGTTTCAGAACATTTACACAGTTCAAAATCAAAAGACTTATCTTCTACCACAAAGTCACTATGGCGCATTAAAACATCGAGAACTATGATAATAAGTATACTATACTCAAGAAAACGCCACCAATAACCAGTGTGGGAAAACTTTCCTTCCGGGGGTGAAGACGACCGGGTTATACATCAACAAAGACGGGAAAAGCCGAAATGCAAATTCTACAACAATCCTTACATGACTGAACCAATGTAATAGGACATGTTTCATGCCTTGAACAATTTCCATATTAATTTGGTTGTGAAAAGACATTCTAAAGACATCAGATAAGACCACCGAATAGCCCTGCATAACGTGGTCCACTACCCAAATGTCCATTGCCCAATAGTCCACTGCCCAAAGGCCCATTACTTGTTAGTCCCTTACGACCTAGACCAGCGAAAGGGTCATTTGGCATGTTAGAACGTCTCCCGGGCATGACAAACTCCTGCGGCAGCTCAGCACATGGTAATACTGAGTTGTCTGCTCCTCCAGTCCGCTGATCCATGGAGTCAGCGTCTGGAAACCAGAAGCTATCATAAGTTCGATAACCACTGGAACTGGATCCACGTCTGTAGCCGTCGTTGGTGGGGAATTGAATATGCCTTCCGCGAAATCTCTCATAGTAGAAGTGCTTGGATGTTGGCCAACGATCCACTCTAGTATGGGGTTTGAAGCCCGAATTTTCAGCTTCGACGTATGGTTTGTAAGGTTCGTTCTTCATTGGGACCTTTGGAGCTTTGGCTTCGTTGATTTGAGCATTCTTTGCGTGAGTGCAGGCTTGGTCCCATCTCAACCATCCACGTTGTTCGTAAAGAGTCTCGTTATCCAGGATCGCGATGGGATCCATCACTATCCTTGTACTTACAAATCCTTTCTCTCGGATGCGTGTGAGATTTTTGGCCTTGGTTTCCTTGATCTTATCTTTGTGGAGAACACCAGAAATACCGTGAGCCACGTTGAAAGTCTTTCGGTTGCCAGTTCCTTCGTAATACCTGCGACTTGTTAGTAACACGCTTCTCTAATACTGCAAGACCCGAGGAATAAGGAAAGAATTTAAGGCGAGGATGCTTACAAGTCCATGAAATCCAATCCGTATTTCTGCTCACCAGGCATGTCCAAGCGCACCAAGAACCCTTTCTTACGGAAGTATTGGACATCCCACTCATGCACAATGTCAAGAATGTTTTTCAATTTCGTAAGCCAGCCCTCTGCACTGCTCTTGCCATTCGCGTGTTGGTGCTGTAATTCCCATCACAAACGTCTCCCAGTTCTCCTTCGATGAACCAAATCCACTGAGTACTTTTGCGTAGGGAAATCCTTTAGTAAGGTCGTTTGAGTTGTACGCCATAACCATGAGTCCACGAGACAGGTCGACAGCACCGGTTGCTATCGCCCCAGAAGGATCTCGAGATGCATTTTCGCTGCCCTTCTTGTCTTTTTTCTTGCTTTTCTTTTCTTTTGATCCGTCAAGTTGATCGATATAAAGAGAGTTTGGTGACTCCAAGAAGTCTGTCTGCTGGGCTGTGTGCGGGTAGGAGTCCTTGTACAATGAGAGGGAGCCTGTGACATGATAATCAGTGAGGGTATTAGCTGTTTGACTTTTGGCCATGTGTAGCGCTGCTGTTCGCTAGCCAGTGAACTCAGAAGGCTATATTCTGGTATGTTGCTATATTCAAGAGGGTTCGTGAAGGGTAGAGTTGGTGTTTTATAGGTAATGTAGGAGGGTAGCAATGCAAAAGGTGGGTTTCGAGAATCACGAGGTGTGTATCTTTGAAGGAGTTGAGGTTCAAAAGGGCGAAAAATGTTTTTCTTCATATGCAGTCAGTAAGATCATCGTTGCTTCCTAGGAAGAGAAATGTAAACAAAGCAAGGTTGAAACGGCAATTGCATATGAGAGCATGTCAATTATTATCGAGGCAAGTCCATTACATTCAAATCTTCCATAATACATCGCTCTCGTAATCTGATACGATGGCATCCAGTCTCCCAAATAGTGTAATGTTTCCACGTTCCCGAACTCCAGCGCTATGATATCAAATTATTGTACACATTCATCGCCGACCACGGTTTCCACGAGCTCGGCTTCTGCTTCGGCTTCTGTCATCATAACTGCTGTAGCTACTGTAACTTGGACTTCTTCTTCGTCTACCTGCATTTCTTCCTGGGCTATCTCGTCTACCTCCACGTCTTCTGGGTGGCGATCGTGATCGCGAGGAAAACGATCTTGAGCGTGTTCTGTGACGTCTTGGTGATCGGGATCTGGATAGCGATCTTGGCCTCCATGTGTCCGTATTTCTCTCAGATCTACCATATCCACCACCTCTTGGGGATCGACCACGAGAAGGGGGAGGGCCGCGGAAGTTGTTTGGTGCTGTTGCCCGAGGATCGATGTTTTGGGCGCGTCTTGCTAGGGGTGGGGATGGGGAGAACTTTCGACGCGGTAAGACGATTGAGACGTTTATCATAGCTCCATCGATTTGTGATTCGTGCATATGGGCAATTGCTGCTTCTGCGTCCGCTTCGGAGGTGTATAGAATGTAGGCCGTGCCGCGATTGGTATGGACTGGCAGAATTAGCATGTACACATTATTGAGCTTTACAATGAGACTTACATTGCCTGTTCATCGGCATATCCAAATCGCGAATATGGCCATAGGTTCCAAAGATCTCTCGTAGATGGTCCTCGGTGATATTCTTCGTAAGTTTCTCAATCACAACCTTGGGAAGTTAGAGTAGTCGCAAACGCGCGAATGATTGGAGCCTACCTTTGTGCTTCTGATAGGGCTTGGGCTTCTACCGCGACTGGCACTGCGACTCTCACTTCTGTATCTGCCATTTCTTCTACGGTTGCGACTGGTAGATCGAGGTGAGACGGTGCGACGAGGCCTGGAAGGAGATCTAGATCCGGGGCGTGAAGCTTCAGAATAGGGAGATCGTGTGCGACTTCGTCCTCGTGGGGGAGCTGGCGATCTGGGCGTCATTCTGGCGGTTGTTTGGTGTTTGCGTCTAGATTTTTTGATCTGAGGTTTGCGCGTTGGAGGATGACCGACTTTCTTGTGGGGCGAGGTGAGGCTCTGGAAATTGTGGCTCAACTGACGAGCCAGGCTTGATTTGCAGGCACCCGACCAAAATTAGGAAGGTATAAAAAGATGATGAAGGGGGTTGTGAAATTTGAAGGAAACGCAGAACAGATTTCTAGTTATGGTTTGAAAACATACATAGAGTGAATTCGTGTTTTGAAGCAGTGCATGCGGTTGCGTTTGAGTAGGTGTAGGAGTAGGTGACTTTTCTCTAGTACTAGGCAAATCATATTTGATTCTCTAAATTGAGGGCTTTTGGATCAGCTTGAATGTATAATTTACATGTCTCCTTGAACTAGCTCTTTTCCAAAGTAACTATAGCTAATATCATTGTTTCAAGTACAGGCAACCTCTCTCGGTAGACAAAAAAGGCAAAGTCACAATATCTGGTGCTAGTACAATTAAAGTAATTGATCAAGAATCCTCATCATTCTGGTCATTAAGAATATTCGAAGTAAACAATTAAGCCGGATTAGGCTATATCTTAGCAGTGCTATTTACTACTATTGCTTTCTCTTTTTCTCTTTCATATTACACTGCTGTCACCTAGCTTCCAAGCGGAATGAACCCCTAATTCAGCCGACTCCGCCTATAGTACTAGCGATAAGTCTAAGGCATTTGCACTTTTCATACTAGAACTCGGTATAATTACGCGTACAAAAAATCCTAGGAGGTTAGTAGAAAATATGAAATCCTTTATAGGATCTTTTTGTTTTAACGTTTACTCCCTTTTCGTCTCCCCTAATTTTATTAGGTAATATTAAGATTTAATTAAAAGCGCACTGGAGTATAAGTACCTAAGATGAATTATAATTTTACTATAAGTATATATACTTACAAGTAATTAAAAAGCAGATAAATCGTTGATTTTTGGTGGGGTTCGGCTAAATGGCTCAGACTTAATCCCACCTACTACTCGTGTACACCGATCATGTACCCCACTTGAAAGAACTTCATACTAATACATAGATAATCCCCCGTTGAACATATGAAATCACGAACAGCCCTTATAGCTCAATGGTAGAGCGCGTCACTAGTAATGACGAGGTTGCCGGTTCGATTCCGTCTAAGGGCATTAATACCATAACTTCTTTTTTTAGTTTTTCCCCCAACCAAAAATGAGACAATATGTGTCTTTTTTGCGCTTGTAAATGAACCTTGCGAGTACTACGTGATGCCAAGCTCCTAGTAGACAAGAAAAGTGGTAGAGACTTCTTTTATGTTCGCCTAGCTTAAATAAAAACAATTCTATTATATTGTTTATTTAGACTAATTAGTATGATTAAATACAAACGATAGGATAAAAATGGTAAATGTTCTAGATATTTTAAACATTTTAAAAATTGGAGTCAACTTACGCTAAAAGTTAAAAAATAAACCGCTACTACTTTTTTGTCTACCAAGAGCGTAGTTACTAACCAAAATTCCCTCACATCAACGGACATAGAAACCGAATGTTTTGATCCTCACGATGTATTATTTAATTACTGAATTTTGAGAGTAATCGGTACCGGTAATAAAAGTATGAGTAATAAAAGTATGAGTAATAAAAGTATGAGTAATAAAAGTATGAGTAATAAAAGTATGAGTAATAAAAGTATGAGTTTTGTAATAGATTTTGTTATGAACGGGTCTTCGCATAGCCCCTATTCTACCCGAACTTTCAACCTCATTAATACCAAACTTACAAGCTCTTCATACGTTGATAGGTAGATATCCAGAATACTTCCTCCCGGACAAAAAGAAGCACCATTTTCTTGTTGTAAAGAGAAGTTGTACTCACTACCAAATATTTCGCCCACGGCAAATAGCTCCATGAAATGAAGTATTAGAACGTGGCACTGTCGCTGTTATATTCGAGTGAATAAACTCGATGGCACAGATCACCTAGTACAGCTATATAGTAACGATACAACAACAACACCTTTGACTCGGTGTGCATCATGTGATAGAAATAGTCTAATACTAAGGTTTAGCCTCTTCCTACTTTGCACCTCACATATTTGACAATAAGTTAGACCAACAGGCACCTTCAAATCCACTAGATTAACAAATAACAAAGAAGAGAATTCAGGAATTACAAAATTGTTCCGAAATTCGATGTAAAAATCTTCGATCAACTCTTGTTCCCATGCTTCTACTTTGAATACATTGTAGCAATATTCTCTACATTATATCGTATAAATGTGAGTGAGAAGTAGCAATAATCAATTCTAGTTTAACCCATCTACATGGTCTACTATAAACAATGAAAAAGCATGTCAACGGTTAATCAATAACCACTAATACAATTAACAAAAGTCCTCGTTTAGAAAGAGAAATGTAGATGCTGCATCCAATCTTCGAAGGCCAAAAACGTCACCTACCACCTGCCGACCTAGGACTCTACAATCTCTTATAGATGCACAGTACATACCGGCGAGGAACCAACGCTTAAAGTAAAAGAGCGGATTCTAAAGGAAATCCGGACGAGAACGAGTACTAATATAGGTAACTTAGGCCACCCCCCTTCCCTTTAGTCCAATCCTTTTTGTAGATAGTCTCTGATTAAGTATACCTCACGGGTTCTACACTGATAGAATCCTCTCCGCATCTCAAGGTATGGTATAACTGCTTCTCTTAGGGGAGATAATAGGATATGATTTTTAGGTAATGTCGTAAGCAGTAAATAAAGGAGGTCATCCCAAAGAGTTCCGTTCATCGACATCGCATTGGAAGTACTACATATTACTTTCTAATCTCGCTGCAATCCCCAAAGATTCCCCTCCAAGTACTCTACTCTAATCTTGTAACGGTCTCAACATCATCCCGAGTGAAAGTGAAAGTAATAACATTCCAAAGTAAAAGGCCTTGAACTCCGCCCTGAATAACTTTCTTTGGTGAGTAAGCGACAACTTCTTTCATGTTCATCAAATGAACCACCGACAATATACAAAAATTTACCCCGCCTTCCCTTCTTCCCCTTCTTTTCTCAACCCTCCTTCCTCCCCTCAACCTAGAAATCTTCCTCTAAATCTACAAGAAAACAACACACCCCCAAAATGCAATCACCAACCCTTCCTTAATAAGGAAACCCAACAGAAACACAAAAGCATCTCCACACAAACCCATACCCCACAATCCCCTCTACACCCCAAAACGCTCAGCCACAAAAAATGCACTTACTCCATAAACATAATCGATTCATTGCTTATTTGCGTACAATCGACTCCTAGAACGTCTCCACACCAGCAAGATCCGCTACCCCTACCCCCCTCCGCCCCTCCCTCCTAGCTCCCCGCACCACCCCACAAAAGTTCTCAAACCCCTCAACTAAGAACCAGAAAAGTTGTGATATGATTCAAGTACTTAGTACTCTGACTCTCGACCACGGCCAAGAAAAAAAGGCAAAAAGGACCACATATCCATGACAAGTTTGACGACGACTCAAGGACATGTGATTCGTGAAATAACAGAAAAGATGGACCCTAGTCAAGCACACTCCGTATACACCAGGAAAGAAAGTCACAAATACAACACAGCATAGGGATACAGGTGGTATGTCTAAAACGAACATTCTATTATTCATCTCTGTCCAAGAAAAAGAAATCTTCATCTGCTAACTTATAAGCTCAAGGAGCTCTTTCTAAATCCCGAAAAAAAGAATTACATTTATTGGCAGTTGAAGCCAAAACCCCCTCCTCCCAACATAAACAACAAAACGCCAACGCTGTAACCCCCCTCCCAATGAATCTATGTGAATAGAACTCCCCACCAATAATGCTCTAATGTTGAATATATTCAAAGCAAGAATCTTTTTATCGTCATCGTCATCTTTTGTGTCAAGTAAATAAAAAAAATGCATTTCTTCTATAGCTTCGTGTTGAAAAATCGTTACGCCTCGTCGGTCTCTTCGACGGGCCCGCATGTACAGAATAGGTTCAAGTCACCGTAAGCTGTGGGTTGATTAGTATGATGTGAAGTGTGTGGAGGATTTGATCTTACCATCATCCAATCTCGTGACACTGGGCCAGAACTTCTTCTCTTTCAAGTAGGGTAAAGGATAAGCTGCGTTCTCGCGAGTGTAAGAACGATCCCATTCTCCAACCAAAAGGTCCTTTTGCGAATGTGGAGCATTCTTCAGGACGTTTCCGGTCTTAGGAGCAGTACCATCTTCCACTGCCTTAATCTCACTACGAATCGAGATAAGAGCATCGATGAAACGATCCAACTCCTCCTTGCTTTCTGACTCGGTAGGCTCAATCATGAGTGTGTTAGCTACTGGCCAACTCATAGTAGGTGCGTGGAAGCCGTAATCTTGAAGACGCTTGGCGATATCAATAGCTTCCACCCCCGAAGTCTCCTTGAATCCCCGAACATCGAGAATGAATTCGTGAGCACATCGATCGTTGTTGTTGGTATACAGAATGGGGTAGTGGGGGCGGAGTCGGGACATGATATAGTTGGCGTTCAAGAGAGTAATCTTGGTTGCGTGAGTCAAACCTCGACCACCTTTAATTTATTAGTATTTGTCGGTACCAAGATACGGAACAAACTTACCCATCATCTTCACATAGGCCCAACTGATTGGTAGAATGCTTGCACTTCCCCATGGAGCAGCGCTAACAGGCGCAATCGCTTTTTCACCTCCTGTCTTGATCAATGGATGACCTGGTAGGAATGGTGCGAGATGTGACTTGACACCAATTGGACCAACACCTGGCCCTCCACCACCATGAGGAATACAAAATGTCTTATGAAGGTTAAGATGACAGACATCAGCACCAATCTCGCCAGGTGAGCACAATCCAATCTGAGCATTCATGTTCGCACCATCCATGTAAACCTGCCCACCATGTTGGTGAACCAAATCACAGGCGGCCTTGACCTCAGGCTCAAAAACACCAAAGGTGGAAGGATATGTGATCATGATAGCGCCCAACTCCTCGCTATACTTCTCACACTTAGCCTTGAGATCCGCCATATCGAGATTGCCAGTGTGGGTGTCGCACTTGACAGTCACAACTCGCATGCCAGCCATTGCCGCAGAGGCGGGGTTAGTACCATGTGCAGATGTTGGAATCAAACAAATATCTCTCTTCTTTCCTGGTTGTTGCTCTTGATAGCTTCTGATGACCCGAAGCCCCGCAAACTCACCCTGAGCTCCAGAATTTGGTTGCAATGACACAGCATCGAATCCAGTAATCGTGGCTAAATCGACCTCCAACTCATCAATCATAACCTTGTAACCAGCTGCTTGCTCGGCAGGTGCGAAAGGATGAATTGAGGCGAACTCCGGCCATGTGACTGGGGCCATCTCGGTAGTGGCGTTGAGCTTCATAGTGCAAGATCCTAGGGGTATCATGGAATGGGTAAGCGAGAGATCCCTTGATTGAAGATGGTGGATATAGCGAAGAAGTTCTGTTTCTGAGTGGTGTGAATTGAATACAGGATGTGTGAGATACTCAGAAGTTCTCTTGAATGCGTTGGATATTTCAACCTTTCCTTGTCCTGGCAGCGAATTGACAATCTCACTAATGTTGATTTCGGCCTGAGATTTGGAGAACTTGGCGAAAACCGCAAGGATGTCTTGAAGATCTTTGGTATCTACAGTCTCATCAATAGTAATGCCAATTCGAGCATCGTCCAAATTTCGCAGGTTGATTTGGAATTTTGTTGAAGCGTATTCAAGCAAAGCAGCAGTTTTGTCTTTGCCAACTTTCACAACGACCGTATCGAACAGCACCTGTCCATCTTCGCCCTTGCCTCTGGATCCGGTATCGAATCCCAGATTCGTCAAACCTCGTTCAATGATTCTTGCACCAAGTATAGCTCGTTCTGCAATGTTCTTCAGACCCGTGGGACCGTGATAGACAGCATAGAAAGCACTCATGTTTGCGAGTAAAGCCTGGGCTGTGCAGACATTGCTTGTAGCCTTTTCTCTTCGGATATGTTGCTCACGAGTCTGCAGTGCCAATCTCATTGCCTTGTCTCCCAGTCTGTCTTTCGAAACCCCAATCAAACGCCCTGGAATCTTTCGCTTATACTTGTCGCTAACGGCAAAGAAAGCAGCATGTGGTCCACCATATCCAAAGGGCACACCGAATCGTTGAGCATTACCGAAAGCAATATCTGCACCAAACTCCCCAGGTGGAGTGAGTACTGTCAGAGCAAGAAGGTCTGTAGCGACGCTCAGTGTAGCACCTTGCTTGTGGATAACATCAGACAAAGCCTTGAAATCCTCCACTCCTCCTTCGGTATCTGGGTATTGAACGAGTACACCAATCAGGTCGTTTCCGAGCTCTTTGATACGCTTCCCACCATCTGCAAGAACATCACCGATTTCAATCTTAATGTCAAATCCATCCGCGCGACTCTTCATCACAGCCTTTGTCTGGGGGTGTACCAAGTGACTGACAAAGTAGGTCTTGTTCTTACTTTTCTGTCTTGAAGTAGGCAGAGCATTCATGGATAATGTCATTGCTTCGGCAGCAGCAGTGCCCTCGTCGAGCAGAGAAGCATTGGAAACTGGGAGTGCAGTAAGATCACATATCAGAGTTTGATAGTTTAGCAGCGATTCCAAGCGACCCTGACTAATTTCTGGCTGGTATGGCGTGTAACTGGTGTACCATCCCGGGCCTTCTAGCACATTTCGCTTTATCACTTCTGGTACCCGAGTGCCCGCATATCCACAGCCGATATAGCTTCGCATTATTGTGTTCTTGGAGGCAATTGACTTGAGTCTTGCCAAGAGCTGCGACTCGGTAAAGCCCTCCTCTCCGCCATGCTGTGTGGTCTCAATTTCTAGGTCGGTTGACGACAAGATGTTGCTGGGCAGAACCTGCTTAACGAATTCGTCCAAGCTCTTCACAGGCGGATCCAGAGCTTTTAGCATCTGCTCAGTAGTGTCTGCAGATGGCCCAATGTGTCTTCGCGCAAAGGTGTCTAGAGGAAGATATGCCCCTCGCGAAGCAGCAGTGTCTGGGATGGTGTTGGAATCGTCATTGGCAGAGCTCGTGTAAAAGGTTCGGAGGCCAATTGCCCGTGTCGAAGAGGAAGAGCTCAGAAATGGGCGTGGAGAGAAGCATTGGCGTGTGCGAGAAGGGGAGCTTGTTAGAGGCAAACTTCGGGATTGAAGTGCTACTCTTCGAAGCTGAGCTCGCACAGCGAGGGTCGAAGCCGCCATAGCGACAGGTCTTCGAGGGGTAGAAGTGTTGTAGAGAAAAAGTCGGTGAAGTGTGGTGTAGAGGAACCGAGGGGCGGCGGGGTTGAGATTGGGGTTGGGGTTCGTTATCGGAAGCTGCAGGGGCGTACAGTATCAGCAACTCTGCATGCCTTGAACTGACAATTGAGATGCGGGAGAGGCTTCAGCGAACGTGAACGAAACCCGACGAGGTTCGTCAAGGGCGACGAAAGGACAGAATGTGGTATGAATACTGCGGTGGTAAAGGTGGGAGAGAAAGACAACGGGATATATAAAAATTCCCCCAGATAAAGTTCAGAGGCGATGCGGGAGACAGATGACCCCTGTATCCACATCCCTGTTTATCTAGCCTGCTAACCCAGAATAGACTAACGCCAACGGCCATGAGTAGTACGAGTGCCGCTCGGTGCACACTCTTACCGCATGTACTCGTAGCGGTACTCACAGCTCCTGCAGCTTTTATTTTTTCAGAAACGTTTGGTGGAGAAACATCACTGTGAAATTACTTGTACTGGTGAAATTATTGGCATCAACGCTACCAACTTTAAATCCGCCCTCTACGTCAGTCAATACAACCCAAAAATCCCACCATGTTTGGAGCACGTAAGTTTGTGTACCGTATTTGCACATCGTAGAGACCAACTAACACTTCTTAGCACCGCCGCCCAGTGCCATGGAGATTAGGAAGATGGAGGAGGAAGCCTCAATGACAATCCAACAAGTTCTCGTCGGCTCAATTCTGCTCTACTTGTGTAAGTCATATATCCTCGTTTGGGATAGGGTCACTAATATTGGAATAAATAGCACCCTTTGCCATCGATACCCTGAAAGGATTTCTGTAAATCTGCCCCGCCGGGAATGTTCTGCCCATACCACCAGGTCGAATTGAGATTTGCACTATACGGGGGATAATGGAATCACAGCCTAGCATCGCGAGTGTATCATAAATACCGGAGTCTGGTTCTGGTTCTGGTTCTGGCTCCGGTTTGATTGGTCGGGAAAACAAAAAAATGAACCGCACATGGCACCCTCTTATCGCAAATCTGGAGCCTCTGCGAGTACTGTTGTTTTACCCCGGTGAAGAATGGGAAGATGCCATGAAGTTGAACAACCTTCAAGATGTGAACTGGACGGCTAAGAAGAGGATGATCTTTGCTGCTCTAGAGAGTATACAAGTTAGTCACACTTTGTCAGTATTGGCAATAAGAATTATTTTCTTCGTTTTCGATGGCAGTCTTGAAAGACCCTTCAAGAGGACTGTCCATCATCCCCCAGCACCTGTTGTCCCAAACCTCCGCTTTGCCAAAATTGTACGAATGTTCTAGAATAACTGAATTTGTTGCTTGGGAAGCCTGAGAAGAAATACAATTGACTGTTCACTCTTCAGGCTTTCTTGGACAAGATTTGCATTTGTTTGGGAATTCTTCGCAAACGAGGTGGCGGAAGTCAATGGATACCTATACACACTCTTGCTGAAGGGTGAACTACCTATGCACCTTTCTCATCTGTGACTAGCAGGATCATCCAGTCCAAGTTGCATTTCTTCTTTCAATCGCTACTTCAAATTGTATACCATATGTGAGCTTTTCTACTCTCAAAGTTTGTAAAGTCGACGAGGCAACAGAAACACATTACCTCACTTGATGTGCATCTAGAACAATTTTGATTACTTGCTCTTTGGACTACGGGATTACTGGCTTCCTCTAGGATGTCATGCTGGAAACATATTTTTTCATGCGCTCCTATACATAGGTAGGTAGGTACCTACCTACCTATGTATACCTACCTACCGCCATTATGGTTGGTTTCCGCCAAATGGGGAAGGGGAGGTCAAGGGTCGCTCCTCCCTTCCTGAACACCATCGCACCACCACCACAAGACCCGACCTCATGTATCTAAGGCATCTCTTCCTTCAGCCTTGTCATTCACTCTACAACTATTTCTGTCCGCCCTCGATTCTTCAATATCCCCCTCCCCCTCCCTCTCCCTCTCCCTTTACCCCCACCCTGACTTGTACATCAACCTACAGCGTCTCAACCCTCCAATTTCCCCTCTTCCTCTCTCTACTCAAGGTACGTTCAACACCCCATTGACCGAATCTGCGGGTTCTGTAACAGCACCTCGTCGTTGCTCCTGGTCAAAACAACTTGACTCCAGACATATTCCCTTTCCTGCCTGTAAAGGCAACCTCGCCTTCGTTCCCGACCGCTTCTTCCACCTCCGCAGTTCTTGGAAGTTTGTCTTCTAAGGATTCACCCTATTAGCACCCGTCCCTTGAGGGCCACTTGACCTTCGCCTTCAATTACCTCTTAAAATCACTGAATCGCAGCTCCTCGCATGCAATCCTTCAAACAAGCATTCCCTATGAGACTCAACTAACTCCTCTTCAGAATATCCTTTGACTACATCTTACTTGGTATTATTTACAGAGCCCCCTTGTACCGCTGGACTTGGGAGTATTCCCAAGACTTTTTTAAGGTACCAACCAACATTACCAACCTCTAACCTTGGGCACAATCCCGATACTACGGGAGATCAATAGCACAACATGGACTCCGAGACCCCAGGACCGACGATAAAGGCCGAGATAATCAAGGCTGAGACGGTTGAGGCTGAGAAGATCAAAATGGAGGGCATTGAGACAGACCAAACATCGGCATTGACAGCCAGTCAAGGTCAATCAAATCCTGATCAACAATCGACCGAAGCAGCGTGGCGAAACTGTGGTCATCTTAAAAACCTCCAGCAAATTGAAACTAAGGAAAAGGCAGTCAAAGACGCTTTGACTTACATTGAAGATTTGGAGTCCTTGTTAGGAGTCTCAAATGATATGGCCAGCGCTAGCAAATGGCTTGCAAGAATTAGTATGGACCCTGACTTACATTTTCTCTCCCGAAAGAGGGGTTTAGGTGGCATTACTAACTCTATCTAGAGGAAATACGCGAGCGCTGCAAAAAGAATAAAATCCTCATTGGTCTGCTGGGCGTAAGTCAACCTCTAACTACCGAAGGTGTTGTACTCTAGGCTTGTTGAGATTTTCACACATCTATCTTTACCTTAGTTTTTCCATTAGTTGACAAGGCTTCAAACTAACCTTTCCTTGTTTGGCAGGTTTCTGGTTCAGGAAAGTCCAGTCTTATCAACGCTTTACTCGGCGAGGAAGACTTGATGCCAGGAGACGACGAGCGAGCCTGTACTGCTGTAGTTTCTGAGGTTTCATACCAAACAAATGAAGACATAGAAGTTGCATACGAGGCAAGAATCCAGAGAATCAGCCAAGATGACTGGAAGGCAGAATTGACTAGCTTGTTTCAAGATTTAAGAACCAACGCTAACATCAGAGACGGCGAAGATGGCGAAGAAGATTTAGAACGAAACCAGCGAATTCAAATGGCGTTTGGCAAGGTCCAATCAGTATATCCGTTTATCGAGTCATCAAAAAAGTTGGAAAAAGACTGGGACGTTGCAAAACTGATGAACCATTCTAGTGTCAAGTATATCCTTGGGAAATCTCTCGTTCTAACATCCGCCAAGCGAGAAAAGTTTTCGAAAATGATCAAACCGTATATTTCTAGCGTTCTGTCCAAGGGAGATGACGGGGCGATGTATGCACAATGGCCCTTGGTGAAATTGGTTAAGGTTTATGTCAGATCACCTCTGCTACAGGATGGCATCGTATTGGTTGACTTGCCTGGATCGATGGTATGTGAATACCCCATTTGTTGTTTGCTCATCAACTACTATCATAACACTTTAAATATCCCTTCCTTGAAAGACGTACAGTGCTAATGTTTTATAAGGATACTAATGCTGCTAGGGGAGCCATCGCCGCAGAATATCAAAAAAACCTAACAATAAACTGCATCGTTGCACCAATCCAGAGAGCTGCGACAGACAAGCCCGCGCAAGAACTACTTGGCTCCGTCACCCAGAGAACGTTACAGCTTGATAATAAGTTGCCAACCGAATCTGTGTGTTTCATTGTCACCAAAATTGATTCTTCTCTCAAAGTTGATCGTTATATCAGAGAGCATCCAAAGGTACAAGAGATGCTGACGGATGAGTTCGAGAAAGAGCTCCGGATTTCTGAAGATATTGAATCAATAAAGGTTTGGTGTGAAGAAAGAAAAAAGCGACAAGCCGAAGACAACCTTCTTATGAGCCAGCTTAAGAAGGAATCCAAGCAGCTTGCCAAAATCTGCAAGAAGCCAAAGAAGGCGGGCCGATCTAAAAAGCGCAAGGCAGGTGATGATGGCTCTGGTAAGTGTTTTTGAGTGATCTTACATGTATTCCACCATACCATTTCTCGAGGCTTACTAACCTTCGACTTCCAGAATCTAATCTTCCCCCTGAAACAGAAGAGCAAAGGGCCAACCGGCTCAAATTCATCGAAATCCAAAAAAGTATCGCCGCCACGAAAAAGCGAATTGGAGATGCGGGCACTAAACTCTACAAGGCACACGAGAGAATGCAACTTGCCCAAGCAGCCCTCGAGAGATCGCAAAGTCGACAGAGATTCGCATACATAAAAAACCGCAATGAAGTCGTAATAACGGCCTTGAGAGCAGATTTCGAAATCGCGACGATGGCACTCCCACAAGAAAAAAAGAAACCTTTACCTGTGTTCTGTGTATCTTCACTGGCTTTCTTTGAAAGCGTCAACAACTCTCATCAACCATTCTTCGGATTCCCAAAAATGAGCCACACGAATATTCCAAATCTCAGAACATGGGTTATTGAGACAACTCTACCCTCTCGCGACCATTCAGCGATGGCTTTTCTCGAGGACGTTGAGGGCCTTCAAGTAGCTATGAAATTGTGGTTTTCGGGTGCCACTCCAAAATATTTGATGACTTCTGAGAAGAGAAGTGCTGTCGAGACCCTCTTCAATCTAAATTTCGATCAACTGGAGAAGGTAAGGGCCATGCCATTCTTTGAATAATGCTTGGTCTACCCAAGTTAATTGGTCAAAGCTAATAATTACTTGTAGCGGCTCGCGAAGTTGGAAGAACGCTTGATAGAGTCATGCCAAAGAATTGTTAAAAACGGATTGATAAGCAAGCTGTCAAAGTTCCAAGCCGAGGCGACCGAAGAGTCGCAGAAAGTGGTCAGAAACTGGCCACAGAAGCCTATGCATTGGGGCATACATAGGGCCATAAATCGCGCAAAAGGGGTTCATGTAACACGCAAGGATATCAAGTATGATTGGGTTGAAGAACTGGTCGCTTGTTATCTTGTGCCACTACAACAAGAATACACGAATACCCTGCATGATAACGTACCAAAAGAACGTACGATATTCGATGATGCAGTTTCCAAAGTGGTAAACGAATTTCTTGGAAACTTAACCAATTCATTGACTACGATTTGCCCCCAATTGAGTCAGCAGGTAGAGCAGTGGAGGGATACAGCAATGCGCGTTCCAGGTCAAATTCACGAGGTTTCGAGAGAGATATTTCACGGCCCCATAGCCGAGGCAGGTATGGAGGGCCACGGCAAAGTCCAACCTAAAGTAGCAGAAACTTGGGAACCAATATTCGTCATATGTGGAAATGAGAGTGGTACGTCCGGCAAATTCCGTCTATATTGCACATCTGGATCGTGATTAACGTTGTTTTATAGGTCGGGGCCACTATAAACGTAACCAAAACATGCACAATGAGCATATCAAAGCAAACGCCCATAAAATGTACCAGAAGGCTTCCAGAGCCGTTTCCTACGTCTTCATTCAGCTGTGGAAAGCGCTCCCTGAGCATTTCAGCAAAGGTGTCGACCCAATCCTCGCGGCTATCCGAGAGGAGTTTCTTGACATGGTTGTGAAGAACACTGACCAAAGCGGACTTGGCCAAATCGAGCGTATGAAAGTTGAGTCCAGATTGGAGCTCACCGGAGACGTCCTTGATATATTCCAAGGGTTGAAGGCAGCCTGGGCTCAAGGCATCATTATCATGAAAGAAGAGGACGAAGAGGATGTGAAGCCTAATGAGATCCACCTCGGCAATCTCGACGAAATCTCGGGAGATAACGATGAAGATTCTTATGACGAAGATAGTGACGACTATGAAAGCGAGGGCTGATCTGCCTTGCATCAACGACAACTTTCCTCGATTCATATGAAGCCAACACTTTGACAGGTCTTTCCCATAATTACCATATTGCAAAATTCAGCAAACACCTCAGCAAAACCTTTGCGCACCGGAGCTTTAACCCTTTTCCCATAGTTCGCTATTTCCCCCAAATACAGACCTCTTTAGCAAATTTTCTTTTATTCTGCATTTATTACGATGATACCCGGACACATGGAGTGAAGAGCGCTTGATCTTTTCAAGATGTACGCACATTGCAGCCTCTTCAGATAGCAACCAATTGAACACTCAAATTCGCCAAATAATACCTTCCGTGAGCATGTGTTGTATTACCAAAGTTCGAATCCTCTGAAGATCTTGGTCATGTGAAAGATCTGGGGTAAGACTAATTGATCAAGAGGAGTTGGAGGTGAGTACACAGAGAAAATCAGAAGTAATTTGATTTCAAACAGTTGATTGGTCCAAGCTTTTGGGGATAATGTCTATCCAAATCCAATTCACAGATGAAGTATACTAACCAACGAGACATCCCACAATAATTCGCATCTTGATCCTCTTGAAAGCGCGTTTCTAAGCTAAATGGACCGTGAGGAGCGCCCCCTTCAAATCGTTTGCTCAATATCGGTCTACTACTGCGATGTGTGACAATTCCGTAAACTATCTCCTACCTTCTACCGATTAATGCCCCTAAGATACCCTTCGGAATTACGCCTTGGAGATTACCGCTAGGAAATCGTCCCCTTTAGATGATCACCTTTAGAGATAAACACCTCTAAGAAATCACCTCTGGCTGCGAAATGCAACAAAACAAAACCAATTTCGACGCTGGGCCTCTTTTAAAGAGCCCTTGAGAACGGCCCTTAAAATGGCCCTTCAAAACAATGATAAAACGGCCTCCCACTGCGATATGCATCAAAACGAAATTGAGGCCTCACACTGGACCACCTTGAAACGGACCTTCAAAGTCAAAATGGCCTCTGGAAAGTGACCTCTGGCTGTGACATGCAACAAATCAAAATTAACAGCCTCACACTTGACCCCTTTCCAAGGGTCCTTCCAAAGGCCCCTCCAGAAGGCCCTCCAGAAGGCCCTCCGAAGGACTCTTCCAAAAAGGCCTCTCAAAAAGGCCTCTCAAAAAGGCGCCTTTTAGACAGGCCTCCCACTGCAATATACAATAAATCTATAACCTCATTCCTATAAACCGACCTTCTAAAAGTCCCTTCCAAGTTACCTCTCCCCCCTTAGAAACTATCTCTACAAAATCGCCCCTTCTAAAAGTCCTCTACAGAGGAAATCACCTCTAGGGAATCATCTCCTCCATGCCAAGCTTATATAAGGACGCCTGTTGAAACCTCCTCTAGTTGCGAAGTGCAACAAATCTAAATCAGGGGCCTTTTACTTGGCCTCCTTCAAAGAGATACATCGAAGGACTTATCTAAAGAATGCCCCTCGCGAAGTCTCTTCAAAAACACCCTTTTTGAATTGGCCTTCTACTGCGATATGCAACAAAACCAATTGAACCCTCATGCTGGCTTGAAGGCCCTCGAAAGGTCCCTCCTGAAAGACCCTCTAGAAGGCCTCCCACTGCGATATGCAACAAATCCATAACCTCATTCCTACAAATCGACCGTTCTCACGTCCCTTCGAAATTACCCCTAGAAATCGCCACCTCTAGGAAATCATCACCCTCTAGGTAATCATCACCCTCTAGGCAGTCATCACCCTCTAGGCAATCATCACCCTCTAGGACTGCGAAGTGCAACAAAACAAAATTGACTCTTTACACGAGCGACCCCTCCAGAAGGCCCCTCGCTCCAAAACACCCTTTTCAAATGGACCCTCTACTGCGATATGCAACAAACTATAATGCACATACTCTAGATAGCAACTCACAAACCAAATGATTACTGAGTTGTAATTTGGCTGTGAGGTTGTTTTGTATCATGTGTGGACTGTCTCATTACCCCTGAAGCACCTAATGATTTTAGTTTTCCAATAGAAAAAAAACATAGAATTAGGACCATTGTATTACTCAGCAGAATTTCTAGAAGTTTGAAACAAGGGAAAAGATAAGGTAACGATTTACTGTGGATTTATTCATCCACTGTGAGGTGGAGCGACGAACGGACCTCTTGATTCCAAAATCATAGATATCAACTCAATGACACGAGGTCCAGTTCCATTTGTTATGTACAAGAGCAAAGAAAATCCCCAACCAACTCCTATATGATCACCGTTTATGGACCGCGGTGCGCATATTTTTGGTGAGGACGGAGATGCACGGGAATTTCGCCTTTTGGTGAGTCGGGGATAACCTTCTCAAGTTTCTAATTCCTGTTAATGGTGTATTAAGAAAGGTGGTGGAACAAGTCTAGACGTACCAAATTATCGAAGACACACTTGTTGAGTTTCCACTCTGCTGGCCGGCATTGCCTGTGGGGAGTTAGCATTTCCCAACGTCCCAAGGGAGTGATGAAGATTATGCGAACCATAATTGTTGGTTGTTATCATCGAGACATTGCCAGTGTTTTCGGAATTCGGTAAGACAGTGCTTGTTAACGTCTTCTATACTGATTACCAAAAGTTAGCATCATTAATTCGAGGCCTGGGGTTATCGTTATTCCACAGTTTCACATCCTCGGTACAATCCCTCCTCACAAGAACCCCTTCATGCTGACCCCTCCTTTTTGGTACAAATAGAATGCCCCGGAGTAAGGTATGGACTTACACGCTCTTTGCGCATCTCGTAACCCGTCTCCCCTCCTTCAGACAGTCAAACTCTGCTCGTCCCGGCTTCTCGGTCTTGCATTGCATGAAATCGTCATTGTAGTCCTTGCATCTTGCGCCGATAAAGAAACTGGCTGATAGCAGAGGGGCGGAACTGGCTCCTAGCTCCTCGACCGCTGGGATCTCTTTGGGGAGAGGTGTGCTATCGGTGAGGACGGATTGATTGAAGCTATAATTGAGTATTTGTCAGCGATCGATCCGTAAAATTGGTTGTATTGAAATAAACATACACTGGCCGCCTGGCTGACATTTTGAAAGCTTCTTCGGGAGACGGAGAGAGTGGTGAGAATCAATTGATAGCTTTGCGATTTAGGTAACCTTGTCATGAGGTGAGGTTGAACCTACCCAAAATTCGTGCCTCAGGCCAACATCAAAGCTCCCAAAGTCGCGTTTTGGTATTGGTATTTTTGTTTCTCCGCCAGCATTCACCTCCAACTTGCGCCGCGAAAGTTCTTCCCAAGCTATATTTCCTCTCTCCCAGCTCACTCTTGAGCTTCTCAGCTTCTTGTGCGCCATTTCTCCCTCTCCTCTTCTTGATCTTCCCGTCACTCGTTGCATCCGCAGAGAACGCGCATCGCCCATCTAAGAAAAGTGAACAATATTGCATCTCTCAGGCCCCTTAAAATCCTTCAACCTAGCACGTCTTTTGCTGTATCGGGTACGCGGCGCATCTACATCGTCGCTGACAAGATCGCTTCAGCATGTCGCTATTCGGAAATACTGGTGGAGCGCAGCAACAGGGCGGTGGATTATTCGGTGGACTTGGACAAGCCAAACCTGCGCAAACGGGAGGATTATTTGGTGGATTAGGGGCAAGTACTCAGCAGCCTCAACAGCAGCAGCAAGGGGGAGGGTTGTTTGGAGGCCTGGGAAATAATACTCAGCAACAACCACAACAGCAAGCTCCAACCGGGGGGCTCTTTGGGAACAGTACTCAGCAGCAACAGCAGCAGCAAGGAGGAGGATTGTTTGGCAATTTGGGTCAAAATAATCAACAACAAAATCAGCAGCCTCAACAGCAGGCGCAGACGGGAGGTCTGTTTGGCAGCTTGGGAAACGTTCAACCGGGTCAACAGCCACAAGGGAGTGGATTATTCGGACAACAACCACAGAACAACCTTGGTAATTCGTTATGGCAACCGGACAGTGGCATCAAATCCCGTTAGTTAATTATACTGCGTTCTAAATCTGTCGCTAACATGTTTTTCAGGAGAAAAGAGCGTACCAGAACAAATCGGCACCATCCTTTCCAAATGGGACGTCTCCAGTCGGGATTGCGCTTTCCAGCATTACTTTTATAATAAGGTGGATGATAATATGGTTCCATTCTACCAAGCTGGACCCAACGAAGACCCGAAGGCATGGGATGAGGCTCTCTCAAAGAAACCTGGACCTGGTTTCATTCCAGTATTGTGCGTAGGATTTTCTCAATTGGGCGAGAGGATAAAAAACCAGCAAAACAACTTGAGCTCCTTTAATCGACGACTTCACGAAATTAACAATGCCCTCTCCTTAATGTTACAAAACCACGATACGAAAACTAGCATACGCGCCATGGATGCTAGACGAAAGCACATGGTCCTCAAGCAGAGATGTCTTGCTTTGGCCACTAAAGTTCAAGTTTTGAAAAACCGAGGTTATGCAATGGGAGGAGACGAGGAAGATTTGAAGACGAAATTACAGGCGCTGGAGAGAAGCATTAGTGATCCGGGACTTGGCGCAAGAGGAGAAGAAATATGGGCTCGAATGCTCACTGTTCAAGAGCGGGCCAAGCTATTGAAAGCTGAGATAGAAAAGAGTGGTGTAGACAGTCCGGAGGGGTTGGACGAAGAGAGAACCCGGCAAGGTAAAAAGGTACGTTTGTCTTATTCTAGGCTGTGAGAAAAGCATTTACTAACCCGTTCTTAGATTCTTGAAGATTACCAGACTCAGCTTGACCACATGAAGAAGGAATTAGAGGCATGCCACAAGGATTACGTCGAATGGGAAAAGGAGAATGGTCCACCACCACGAAAAATCAACCCTCGAGACGAGAAGGCGGATGAGAGGGATAAGACAGCATACATGAGACACAAGATGAGCACGAATTCTGCAGTGTATACTGCATATTCATGAGATTTCATGTACGATATAGGGAGGTAATGACGATCGGATTGGATCAGAAAAGGAGATGTCACACGTGACCTAGTTAATGGAAATGGCAGTTTGGGGTATAGTTTGTGGAAAGCGCATTCTGTATAATCTGTACAATGGAGCGAATTAAACACTTTCCCCAAAGTCGATTGTTGGATGTAGATGTTTGCGTGTGAGAAGACTAATTCACGGCTACCCAGTATTCGTTCATCGAGGAATCCAAAGGCATTAAGAGCTTGGCAAACTCTCATTTGTCCATCCCGGAAAGCTCTAGTACGACATATCCTGGTGAGATATCGTTACAAGGCGCACAGTATATTACCTAGATACTCCCTCATCCAAACTCGGTATATGACTCATCGGTATTGATCAACAGTGTGAGCGGATGACATAGAATATCAATTTCCCCATCTCTCACGATCTTCTCAACATGGCCTTCCTTTTCCAGACCAACCACCCACAAAAAATCGCTGCACTCAAGAATATGGCTTCAACAATAAAGCAACCCCTCGGACCGCCTGCCTTAACAACACCATCTCTAATCCCAGACCCCACCTCCGCATCCTCAGTCCTGACAGGAAAACAGATAACCCTCCGTCCTCTAACAGCCTCCCACATCCCCTCCCTCTTCTCCTCAATCTCCGCACCCACCGATGCAGAGCTATGGACATACATCCCAGGCCAAGGTCTCTGTCCCGACCTCGAGTCTTTCACGGAATACATACTTTCTCTTATATCGTCACCTAACTGCTTTCCTTTTGCCATCTGCTTCAACAGTGCACCGGATGATGCGGTTGGGATGATCTGTCTCCTTAATATCCAGGCTAAGCATCATTATGTTGAGTTCGGACACCTGGTTTACGGGAAAGCACTGCAGAGGACGACGGGGAGTACGGAGGTTGTGTTCCTGCTTTTGGGGTTGGTGTTGGAGGTGCTTGGGTTTGAGAGGGTGGAGTGGAAGTGTGATTCTTTGAATGGGCCGAGTAAGAGGGCGGCGGGGAGGTTTGGGTGGAGGGCGGAGGGGGTTTTTCTGAAGCAGTGAGTCTTTAGTTCTTTCATTTTTTTTCTGCGTCGTGATGTTTTGGGCTTGAGTTTTTTGGTGATTGGAAGCTTATTTGTTGATTGATTTCGGGTGCTAATATGGATTGAAGTATGGTTGTTAAAGGACATCGTAGAGATACAGCTTGGTTCAGGTATGTTGTTGGATTCCCACGTCTCTTCTTGCTAAACGGTCATCTTCATACATGACCTCAGCCCTTAAACTCCGGTAAAAGACAAGCTGATTAAGCGTTTTATCATTTAGTATCCTGGACGATGAGTGGAAAATCCATATCAAGGAATCCATGGAACTCTGGTTGAGTGACGAGAATTTCGATGCGGAAGGGAAACAGAAGAGACGACTTGAAGATGTCAGGACTGAGATCTTGGGGAAGAAGGGGTTGAAGTAGCTCAAATTTGTGATTGGGAAGTGGGGAATAGGACTTGAAGATGTCAGGACTGAGATCTTGGGGAAGAAGGGGTTGAAGTAGCTCAAATTTGTGATTGGGAAGTGGGGAATAGGACTTGAGTCTGTGTGGGGGAGTAGTAGGGACAGTGCAAGATCTTATTATGGGTGTAAGTTAGTACTATGAGCAGTTGCATACCTCTCGGGCAGAACTTTTGCGATGTGTAACAAAACTTCTCACCTTGAGTTTGATTAGAGAGGTCACTTGATTTTATTATATGAATTCACTGAGTGAAGCGATGGAATGGGGAGGTTGTATGCCCAGGAAATGACGCTTTTGGCTGATGAGGGGAGTCGGGTCAGTTCTGCGACTGGGAATAGTACTTTCAAACTTTGTATTGATTGGAGAAGCCACTCACGGCTTGAGAACGAACCATAGGAGTTTCTAAGCTTGAATTCATTTGGCCTTGAGAGTCGGCTAAACTTCACGACCCGCACCAAATGTCTGGGGTTAGGAGAAGGTTCACGGCTCATAGAAAATCCCAGGGATAGGGGCAGGGATTTTTAAAGGAAAAACATGCTTTAACGCTGATGTGTCGCGCCCACACTAACCAACTACATTGGGTAATCCTGGTTGTGTGAGATGCTCCGACTTTTCTTATTAGTGTATATGAAGGAATTTTGGGGTTTGTGGGTCAGGTGGTAGGTAGGTGTGTTGGTGGTCTTGAGTGAATAGGGGGGGTTTTTGGTTAATCTTGACGGCGGATATGGTTTGGGAAGTTATGGGCTTGATTGATTTGTGCTGAGAGTCGGTTTGGTTGTGAAACCTGTGATAAAATATTCTCAGCATGTCATTGATTATCATTATGAAGAGGTAGGGCGTCTGCCCCAGGAAATATGCATGAGAAGTTCTAAACTTGAATTCTGTTGGTTGAGAGTCGGGTCGGCTTGGCGACTTGCAATAAAAACTTGAGACCAGATTCGGATGGGTGGAGTTGGGAGGAGAGCATTTAAGGTATTTAGATTCGATTCTAAGGTAACTAGAGCCATGATAGATTCTGTGACGGGCGGTGCTCTCGTCACGCATGTTGAGGCATTCTTGGTATAACTAGTGGTTTGGCCTCATGTTTGGAAGTTGGGCACCCAGTTCGTTAAACATCATATGGAAAGATGAAGAAGCCCTCTCTGGAACTTTGCAAAGCAACGTAGTTGTATTGATAAGTTGTTGCTATTGTTGAGTTTCCAAAGGCGGTCTGTTCTAGTATAGAAGGACGTTAGTGTAAGTGTGGGGCGGGCCAAGTCGGGAGACGAGGGACACAACTTCACACAAGCGAGGGAGTATTTAACAAGAGGGCGTGTATTTAATGGTTATTGATTGAGTCCTCTCGACACTCAAAAATGTATAGTGAAGGACTCACTTCAATATGTCTAAGTTTTTGTCTTATTCGGGGGTCAGTAAGTCATTTGTAATTGACTAAATATGCTGCAGAGTGTTGGTCAAGTACGAGTGAGGATAGGTTGGCTTGTAGTTTCTCCAAAGTCTGGTCTGGTAAAGTTATTATGAGAATTCATTAAATTTCATATCATGCGAACCTAATGAACCTCATGATTACAAACAGAGCTCGTAATCCTGCTCAAGGAAATACCCACTCGCCAGAAGAGAAACCTTAGACCGGAATTGAACGTTTTGACCCCCTTCACTCATAATTTAACTCTTCTTCGCAAGCCCCACCAAATTTTAGAATGTCCTGCCATATCCTGTGCCACTTGATCCTTTCAAAATCCTCGAACCCCACACCTTCACAATCATGATAACCATTACTTTTGCGTTTCTTTAAATTCCAAGCCGTCCAAATCACTCCTCTCAAGCATCCGGCAATTGACTCCCATCTTCTCACACTGTCCCTGAGCTCCAATCCAATACATCACACTTCCACATTTCTTACACCGATGGAACTCAAGTCTCTTACCGCTCCAGGTGTAGAAATCGGTCGCGTCTCTTGGTTCAGCGGATTTACCATCGACTTCGAACTTCACTTCGTCGACGGGATAGTATGCCCATAAAGCGCCGTAGCGGTGACAGATTGAGCAGAGACATTTGTTGAGAGGCTTGGAGGGTGTTGGGAAGGTGAGACGGATAGTCTTGCAGTGGCATGTTGTTGTGAGCTTGGAGGGCTCTTGAGTCGCCATTGTTGGTGAAGTGGGAGTCTGTGGGACTCTTCCGTGTGATAGAAGAGAGTTTGAGGTATTATGTATTGGGAAAAGGTCGAGGCACTTTACCATCAAATGGATTTAGGTTGAAGAGAGGCTTACAGTGGGATGTCCCTGAAGTTAGTGGGGAATTGAGTCACCAACATCACCAACATGCCGCCCTGCGGCACAGTACATACTGTACGAGGACTCATCGCTAAGCGAGTTTGCGAAAATCGACAGGTCATCCTTCTTCATATTCCCCCAAGTAATACAATTTCTTATTTGACCTTTCTTTTCGTTATCTCACTTCTGAACCGTAAAACTGCAGTCGGGAGTGTGTCCGTAGTGCAGCAGTGGCTAGCACTTTTGCACTTACTTCTTCATGCCGACCAAGCTAAAGACGATCTGATAGCCTTGCTGTTATGTTATAATAATGAACCGAATGGGAAAGTCTTGGCGAGAGATCACCCCTAAAAGAGAAATGACACAGTTCCAAATCACCGCGAAAGTTCCGTCGAGTCATATTCTTTTCATTCGAAATTTCGAAGTGAAATTGCATTTGAAGCTGTGCAACAGTCCCCAAAATATCGACGCCCAATCACCAAGTAACTCTCAAGATTGTAATGTACATTGAAATAGGTCTCCTGCACCTCAAACACTTTTCAACGAGGAGTACTCGCAACATCAGCAGCAAACTGACTGTAGATAGAAGAGAAAGAATTGTACTCCTGATCCGTCAGAAAGAGATAACCCACCCCAGAGTTAGCCATCGCATTCACCACATTTTTCTGATCGGTCAATGAGCCCGTAAAATGATGCAATAGAACCGCAGCCTTGCTTCTCTCTGCCGCCGGGATTCCAGCAGTGGTTTGAGCAGAATATGAGCTATAGGCAGCCTCGACAGGAACAATGATGTCTGCAATGTCGTAGAATTCAGGAGAAGTGTTGGTACCAGGGTTGAAAATGACCGCGGCATTGTTGTTGAAAGCACTTTTGGCAAAGTTGGTAATGCCTCTCATATAGTCACCGCTGGCTTGGTTGATGAATTGAACTGCCTCGTCGAAGAAGATGCCATCCACTGAGATTTAGGGGTCAGTATATCGCTTTAAGGGCTTGGTTCAAGAACCTCTCTGGATTTCTCTGAAAAGAATTTACTTCCAGCGGCGGGGCACTCACTGTGAACATCGGCAGGGGTAGTTTTTGGCCAGTTTGCATAAGTAGAAACGTCAGCAGTGACCTGGGCATAAGGCTGATTCGTGTAATCGGTACGGACATATCCGAAGAGCTTGGTATTGTTGTAGCTGTTGAGTTTGGCAATAGACTCAGTGTAGCTAGCATCGAGTGAGGTTCCCGGTCCGGAATTTGGGTTGATGATAACATTGAACTCGACGTTGGGATGTGCAGTGATGCTGCTGTAAAGTGGATCCCACGCACCAGGGGTAGGATAGAGGTAGAGGGGGAAGAGGATTTGGAGTGCGTTGACCATCTTGACTTGTAACGAACGTAATGGACTTTGTGTTGTCAAGTATGAATGAGAGACTTTTGTAAAGAAGAAAGCTGTGTGTGTGAAAAGTTACTATTAAGTAGAGGAATTTAATTAATTTAACTTTTAAAATTTAGGATTCGTTATCGTGTAGGAATCGAGTACTGTGGCACGGAAATTTCAGGATGCTGGTAGACTGTAGAAATAGGTGGGTCAAAGCGAGATTGCTGATAGCCCACTTCACCTTTTGTCCAGATTGTCCTCAGGGCAAAATTTCAATCGGCCTTACCATTAATATAGTACGATAAAATCAAAGAGTCTTGGCGACTTTGAAACAGCTCATCGCTATGCCGTTCTGGTAGCACATGGTAGCAATGAGAAGTCTAGAATCAGCGGCTTAGCTGCGTGAGTCAGTACAATAAGTACATTCCATTGTTTGGTATAGTTTTGATCTTAAATCTGGTAGTTACGTTGTGCAAGAATAGACCGCATGCCTTAAAATAAACCAAGACAAAGACTTATTAGCAAATTTATTGACATTAACGCAATGAAGTTCAAAGAAACTTCTCTTTTAATCCTATCACATAAAGCCAAGAATAGGTACACTTCACTAAAAGAAGTAGTCTTGGCATTGAGACGGAATACAATGACTTGTGCTGCTTGTCAAGAATTATTTTTGAACGAAATCACCCAATCTGGACTGCCCACTAGCGCGAGCTAGCTGTTGGTAAGGATTATCGGACTGCACTTTCCTCTGGGATGTCCTGTTAAGGAAGTTTCAAGTCTTCACTTCCAGTAGTGTTGCAAAGGTTCACGTACCACTCCCGGGTCTCACCGATTTGCTGAGACCAAACAGGTTGTACGCCTATAACAGAATGATATGCTATACTCCGCAAATATGTGCAACGTGGTATATATGATAAACAGATATGGATACACTGCGGTACCGTATGGGTTCGCGAAGAAGCAGTAGAGGCGATAAATCCAGCCACTTTAGCGTGGCTGCTACGGCAAAAAGTGTGGCGAAACTGTATTCAGGAGCGGTGAAATATTTCTCGCCTCTTTCGCAAAAGGGTGCGATACGAATCGAGGGCTCGCTAAAGTGCGAAGCTTTTTGCTGAAGCGCACGTGAAATGCCACGTCTCTGGGGCAACCAATGATGTCAGAATCTGGCTTGGAGGAGTCTGTTGCGATACTCCTCTAGATGCTTCTTGTAGGTCTAGATTGCAGTCCAGGTAAAATAACTCGACAGATAGTTTATATTATCTGATAGCTTAAGACTAGGGTATTATTTCTAAAGGTTTTTCAGAGGAAATTCTAAGAAATTAATCGATTAAGAAATCAGGGAGATTATAACGACGAGAGAGCATAATTAGGTACAGTTATACATGATTAACTAATATTCACTTCTCTTAAAAACTACTCTCTTATTAGTAACAAATGTCTTCTCAATTCTGTAATTCCATAGAATTCTAGCGCCTAGTAGATAGAAGGAATCATTCTATTTATAAGTAGCTCTGGAAGGATTCTATGCGGATGAATTGTGGAATCCATTGAATGGAACGTTCGTTACTAGTAGTAGCAAAGTATGATTAAACTTTTGCCCCCAAGTTGTCGAATGGGTCTACCTCAAACAGCACTAAATCTTTATTATGCTTCTAACTAGTGACTCCATGGGAAATGAGTATAATGAGAGGGCAAATAGCTGTCATTCAGCCACATTATGCTCTGTTCACTCAGAGTATTGCTCAATATCCAGTGGAGACACGCTAATGCGTGTAGCGTGGGTCTTTAATCCACATCCACCAAATCTATATCTACAACACCCGAGGCTTAAGCGAGGCCCAAGTGAGGACTCTGCTTCAGGGCACGCACGCTGTAGCTACAGGGTTTTATACCTACTATTATGGTACAAAAGCCCTAGAATATTATAATACGTACATATAAGCTAGTGCATTTAATAGAACGCTGTTGCTTTAGTGCCTAATATTAAATAATAAAAATTGAATAAAAATGTTCTAGTTATATTAGAGCCTAGCTAGTAAGAGAATAGCCTAATGACAGTAAAACTATAGGAATGGGGGCATAAACAGTCGTTCGTGGACCATCTTGGCACGATATTGAGGAGGAAAGGTTGTTTTCACTATTACTACTAAAGCGATATTGCGGGGCAACATCGTGTGGATCACAAATATGATCTACAGTGTCTGTACGTGGACGGATTTCGCACTAGGCCAGAGGAAGCATAACGCACTCGGCGACGTCCAAATATGGCCAGTTTCGTGGAAAAGTGGGACAATGTTAAGACACAACATTCTGAGTAAAGAGCCTTTCCTGAGTCGTCCCCAGCGTTCGGCAACTGGAATTCCATTCCATTCCAGACTCCCCTCTGGAAGGTTTCCATTCCAGAGACAAATCAATGGAAGTGTTCCATTCCAATTTGCTCTGGAAGACTCTCACTATAATGCATACTGATCCTACTATAATGCATACTGACCCACTCTCACCGGACTCGGTGTCCCAGCGTTTCTATTCCAGTGTGAATTTAGGTGTGATTAGGAAACGCGTGTACACAACTCGCGACATTTAAAACTAACACATAAAGCTATTCCCATCTACCTTCACTGTCACCCCCACTTTCTCAACCTCACTGTCGCCCCTTGCAACACTCTGTAATTCGCGCCTCGCGGGTTAGGGTTAGGATTATAGGTCGGGGTTAGTAGAACACCCTCACTGTTAAATCTTTTATTTATTTTTACAGTATTCGCGACGAGGCACCAATAGCGTTGATTACCTACAAATATCCCTTGTTTTAAGGTACTATATCAAGGAGTTAATAAAGCTACTTTAGTGTTTTCAGGACTCCGAGCGGCGGAAGGCTCGGAATGCCCCAAGTGCCATATTGGGTTAGTCAATATACATTATAGTGCAGTATGCATTATAGTGAGACTCCTCTGGAAGTATTCCAGGAATGGAATCCATGGAATTCCATGGAATAGGTTCCATTTGCCGATCGCTGGTCGTCACTCCTTACCAACTAGTAAGCAACTGGGCTTCTGACAAATTGAAAGTCTCCACCCCTTCCAAACTTCCATGCTCCTAAAATGGGTTTCTAGGACTTCGTCACAGGTACAAGTTTCCTGAGATGGAGTCCCACACTTCTTCTGGAGAAGACCTTAAAGTTAGTATGGTAAAGATGATGTCTTATTTCGCCATATTTGAGTTCAAATATCACAAAAACCCCAGCCACAAGATACTTGCAGTCAGAATCGGGAAATATTCAAAGGTAGACACCGAAATTATAAAACACAACAAATGCCAAGTTCCTAAGCAACGGGACCGAAGTCACCAAATATCTTCCTATATAATGCAAAAGCAACGTACCACTAAAGGTCCCTCCTAAATATACTTTGAGAAACTGGAAGAACTCCAACTCACGCCAGAGTAGATAGTTCTTGTAAGAGGAAAGCAACTTCATAGCTGAGGTCACATAAGCACAACGGTAGACAAATTCACAACAGCAAATCATTGCTTCCCAACGAGTCTAGTGGATTGCTCAAGGACAACAAACAGATTTTAGTTTTGGGAGTAGCTAAGCTTTCAACAGTGAGCCCCGGTTTCCGATTCTAACAAAGAAGTCACGAGCGGTAGAATAGACATTGACGCCAGTCAAATATCCCCAAGGGTCAAAGCATGCCTTAACGATATATAATGGTTTTACAGAAAATGGGAGGATTAGGAGTCAAATGACTTAAGAGACAAGTTGGGTTGTTCTGAATTTTAAGAGAGTGGAGAGAGGAAAGAATCAGAGACCGGACCGGACAATATATACTCGATCAATTCATTGACCGCCTCTTGATCTCCAAGTGTGAGTATTAGAGTTCTGTAGTAAGAAAATCTTCATTGTCAGGAGAGTTCACGTCCAATCTTAGTGAAGAAAAGGTGACTCCCATTACCCAATCCAAACTTAAACCTCGTTGCTGCCTTGATTTGGTAGCACCCCCTCCTAGAGTATTCCAACGAATAAACGAGTAACGAATATTCGTTATTCTACGCGAATATGATTAAATTGAAACTGTTGTAAATTATTTACCTGAATAGCGGAAAAATAGAATAAGAATAAAGAATAAAGGCTTAAAAACAAGAATATTTCATTATTCTATAGGGGCTAATTAGTAGTTATTTTAGCTCCTAAACACCCCGAAATTAAACCTATTTTTAGCTTATTTAGCTATAATACGCCGAGCCTAAGTAGCATATTTGTTAGTAGTATTATAGATCTAAAAGAGGTATAATCGTAGGTGTGGTACTACTAGCCCTCCGTAAGCTCCGAGAGTAAGTATATTTAATTGAGACTTTTTTTTTAATTAAGACTTTTTAGCCTATACGCTAAAAAGGTAGTTCCTCTAATAAGAAAATAGGTTTATATATAAATTTATATAACGTGGTTTATCAGCGAGTCGATCATATCACCGAGTCGATCACTTTTTCTTGGCACAGAACTTTACACCTAAATAAATCAACCACAATATATTAAATTAATTATCGCTCTCTATATCTGACGAACTAGATATATCTATAACTTCTTGACAAGTTCGCGCGTTATGACCAGCTTTTCCACAAGTTCTACAGCGCCGCCTAGAAGGTTGCCCCTCCTTATAACCAACCCCCGCCTCACGCATGTCGCGTCGTACTTGCTCATCTACATCCTCCTGAGCTAACATATCCTGTACATCCTCTACTATAAGTGCCCCTCCTTGGCGGACACGAGTCTTTTTAGCCCTACGGCGTTTACTTAGGGCTTCATTTGCAGCGCGAAGGGTACGGACCTCAGCAGACAAAAGGGTCATCTCATGTGCCATTCGCTCTGTACCCTTTGCTAACGCAGCAACTGTTTGAAAAAGTGGAGTTGGCGAGCTTCCTTGATGACAGGCTATACGATTTCGTACAAGAGTTGATTGTGAAAGGGCTTCAGTTGGGTTGGAAGGGGTCTGGGACACCCAGGGGAGGGAGTTGGCACTACACGTCCGAGGGGGAGTTGGAGTCCGTAACCTTACGTCAAGCTTTGAAAGCACTGCTTGCGGGTTAAATGGTACTAGGCCAGCTCCGCGGAATCCAGACTGACAGTTTAGGACTGTCATTGTTTCCTTGTATGCTGCTGTAAAGGCTAGAAAGAACTCAACCTTTGTAATATGGTTGATATGGGCCTTGATAAACGTCTCAATCTGCCGACCATACGCTCGTTTTAACACACTATAGCACCCAA